CCTAATAATTGATAAAACAATGTTTGGTGGGTGCAGGGTGTCCATGGGCGTCGGTAGTCAATTACCATCTTTCGACCCGTCTGATCACCTTAAACATACCTCCCCTTACACCATAAAAAAAAAGATCGTACTGAGACAGTGCCTGTCCACGACAGTCCACGAGTTAGCCACGAAGTTAACCTAACGACACTGAATTTCGGTGCGGTCGTAAGTTTCGTTTAAATTTGGCCGAAACAGAAACCGAACCTTCGGTCGATTACTAGCTGTTATTAAGGAAAGTCCTTTTTCAAATAATTGTAATTTGGTTATAAATGTTAACTTTTTATCATTTTGTTTATATTGGTAACCCCAGAAAAATATTATATGCTTTATGTATGTTTACAAATATTTTGAAAGTGGGTATTTCAGAACATTATCATCAAAATCAACATCAATAAAAATAATATTTTCACACATCTCACACACGGCCGTCTGATCGCAAATTCCGATGAGGCCGCGTAGACAACTCCCGCATTACTTTGCCAACATACATGAAACGGACACAAAGAACACCCAGACTCAGAACAACAATTTGTGGATCTCACAAAGTGTCGTCCCATGTGGGCATCGAACCCACAACACTCGGTGTAGTAGGAAGCGGCGTGGCGACCGTTTAAACCACTACGCCATCCGTGCAGTCTTAATTTCATATTGTTAGATATCCCTTCGGGGGACAATTTGAGTAAACACGATTCCAGCGTGTTCGGCAAATACTTACCTACATCGGCAATTTGATTGCCCAACAATTGTTGTACCGCAAGCTACAAAGACTGAAGTATACAGTTTATTTCAATTCATCACGATGTAGGCGCATTGAACTCAGCGATACTTTTTTTTTAAATAAATCGTTTTGTCTATGATTGATACATTTATATCTATGTAATACAGTCATTGGCTCTCAAACTAATACACAATTTGGTGGTTTGTAGAAAGTAATAAACGTGGTTAAGTTAACCTTTACTTCATGTGAAAAATTACCCGTCAAGGTTTGCTAAAAACACTTGTGATTTAATTTTCAGCCATTCACGCCGTTCACGTTTAGTCTTTAATATTAAGAACTTAAAATAGGACCATGGACAGGATTTTATGGATGTTATGAGATAATTTGGCTACTTATGACACTTAGCGTCGTAAATAAAGTACGATCACATCGTGTTTATGTCTCTTATATATATATGTATATATGTGTCTTGTAACTTTTAGTGACGATAACAAATAGTAAATTGTAAATATACCTTCCGAGGTTTTGATATAAAAGTCTCATAAACGAAGACCCATTTATGACTTTGTTACGACTTACGTCCGCGTCCGATAGAGTCATATTTGTCCTTATCTACCTTTTGATATTGTGATCTGTCTTTTATTGACTTGACTTGTATGCTCTAGAAGAAAATGGACGTTTCACAAAAATACTTTTGGCAATTTCAGAGTAATTCTCGTATTATTTGCAACGCACATAAATTTTGATTTATGTGGTTGAATTTTTAAAAGGTCACGTTCGGTATGTCATTCATTTGTCTTGTGCTAAATTTAATTCCCATATAAAATACTGACTCGCAAGCCTTATATAACAACGACGAAACTATTTGAAAAAAAAAACGGAAACATAATTTGTTATAGCTACGTAAATACAATTATATTGTTGAATTAACCTTCATAGCAATTGACCTGACGTCTCTGGTAATAAAAAAAGTCCACCTATTTTACAATCGATCATTTCAATCTTCATTCTCGATTCATACAGGAAGGGCGCATTGGCCGCGGGCATCGTCGCGGCTTGTCAAACCTAGCCGTCCATAGGTTATATATAGCCTCGTCAAGTCGAACTGACCTACTTACAATCGGTCGCCGACCCCACTTACTTGTCGTTGTGAATAATAGGAAGTTGTGTCTTTATTTACTATTCACTGCGTTTACTTTAAATTTCGTTTAAAAATCAATAATACAATGCGTATAAAAAAAAAATTGCCATCCAGCAGTGAGTATATAGGTACATTTGAATTGGGGCAAAAATACGTTGCTATGATCAGTGTGCTAATGACAGCCTCTCAAAGCGCGGTACCATCACGATGGTGGGCTAAGTTATTTTTAAACATCCGGTTCTATTTTTACATTACATCTATCTCTACCTCTGTAACAAAACTGAAGGATTTTTGTTTCTTTAAATATGCAATAATCTCTAAAACCGTCAGTCAGATTTGAATAAATCTTTATGTATGCGGTAGAGTATTGAGAAATTGTACAGTAGACTATAAAACATCCCGATATGACGAACGGAACAGTAACCATTAACACAGTTGTAACTGCGGGGAATGTTTAGTATTCTATTTATATATGTGCATGGTGTAGGTAATCACCACAAATCGGATAACCGATAACAAATCTCATGATCCGTTTTTTGTTTTCTCGATAAATGAACAGAGCACCAAATAATAGCCCATAGGTACTTACATAAATATGTCAATTACTTGCTTAAGTCTAGGCTGTGTTAACCGTATGTCTCAGAATAAAGTACAGAATTCTTTCAAAACAAAATATCCACAGTTTAGTGTATTGCTAAATATAAAACAATTTTAACGATTTTTAAGGATAAGAAGGTACTTAGCTGGATTAGGGGACTATATAAAATTGTATGCTCAGAACTATGACCACCTAAAATACTAGCACTAGATCATTGGGGTTTATGTCACAGCTTACAGTTTAAGATCCTTAATATCTTTCTTCATCGTAGTTGTATATTTTTGCCATAAAAATGTAGGTCGACGGTTTAAGATTTTCTGCAAAGTACGCCATAAAAGACCCGTTAAACATTATCATCAGTACGTAATACTTTTGTAGCTTTCTATTTCAGATTAGACACAATTTACTATTATTTAACAAAATTAACGAATGTAAATATCGTTAAATATACTTACTTCTTACCTTATTTACCTTGTTTAGGGAACCCGAAATAAAAGATTTTTACCGGTGATATTCGATTAAAGAAATTTCGCCTATAAACCACAAAGTATTTTTTGTAAAACAAATTTTCGCAAATTCAAATTTTACGTAAAGTTTAACTCACGCTTTTTACGGACTTGGAATAACTGTATACATTGTGATACACAATAGATTGCCAGCAGGATTATAGGATATTCGTAAGCCTTTGAACTAAATTGAAATGCCTACCTACTTCAACTTACGAGACAGTTTGAACAAAGTGATCAAACACAGAGCTTATCATATTCAGATAATTATCAAAACCCAGATATTATGAAATTAAACTAGTTCAAAATCATAAAAGGATTTAGTGGATTTTTAAGAATCCTAATAAGGATTCTTTGAAGCGTAGCGCACCATATAGATTTGTTCTTATGGGAAATTACCGATAGCAAAAATTCAAAAATCTTAGTTTAAAAGCAATAGAAATATTCGTGATTTAGCCATAGTTAGGAGTCACAAACATTGAGTACAAATCCAATTGTCTTATGGCCAACATTTATTGACGCATAAATTTACTTAGGTCCAATTGGTTTCCACGTACTTTTGGCTATGGTATCCCCAAGGAGCCGGAGATCCGCAGAGATTTTCCACCCCGTCACCAAATAAAAAGAAAATGTTCCATTCGTTGAATAAAAATGTTCGAACACGAACAGAGCCCAGAGCTGTAAATTGTCTAATTCATCCATATGGTAGGTACTTTTGATAAATGTTTTTGGCTTATATATTGACAGAAGCAGATGGTCAAACGCGTGGCATACATAGATCCAATTTTTTGTCCATTGACGCCGCGCTGGCTGGGTTTAAAAACCGGATATAGAAAGAATTATGGTATGGCACCTAACAGTTTCCAACCTACTTTTTCCGACAACAATACGTCATTAAGATATTTCATTTTAATAATTTTATGGTATCACTATAAAAGCATTTATGCAATCCTTCCGGTACAAAAAATTATTTCACGTACCTATGTACTCGTATTACGCCCGTTACATCTTATCGATTTATGTTTGAACTTGTAAATAAATCACTAAAATTATGTCGAATGTTTTTTTCTAAATCTGATTAGTACTTGTATTGATTGGCTTGATGTATATTTTACTATTCGTATGACTTGAATTCCCTACAAGAAATCGAATACGGTTTGTTTGAACATCACTGGCTGGAAAACTTTTCCCTCGACTGGTTCAAGCTCGCCAAATAATGAATTCGATGGTTTGTTATCAAAATCTTAAAAGCCAACACGCTGTGTGTTGTTTCTAAGTACCCTAATTAAGTCCTTGTTTCTGATATATGAAGCTGACATTCTAGTACCTTCAATTTTATTGGAATAAATAATGATAAGCACCAGATAACTGAATCGTGTCATTGCGTTGGCTTTTTCGTTTCACACGGACGGTTCGACCTTAATCCCCGATCCTCTGATATTTTGTACAAACATATTTGACATTTCGAAGTTCATATACGTAGGTATTAGAAAGTTGTTATCACCCACTTATACCAATTTTGTCCGCGTCTCTCATCATTTTTCATTGATGCTAGGCTCCTTGGTCGTAACGTGGTATTATATAGCCTTCCTCGATAAATGGGTTATCGAACACTAAAAGAATTTATCAATTCGAACCAGTAGTTCCTGAAATTAGTATTGGTTTAAGCGGTCGCCACGCCGTTTCCTACTGCGCCGAGTGTAGTGGGCTCAAACCCCACATGGGACAATACTTTGTGTAATACACATATTGTTGTTCTGAGTCCGGGTGTTCTTTGTGTCTATTTCATGTATGTTTGTTAAGTCCTCCGCGACACAGGATGTATTCCTAATGCGGAGTTGTCTAAAGAAAAATGAAAGAATGAAATGTGAAATAAAAGTGCGTTCAACCAAAAAAAAAGTCTAGCTTTATAATATTGGTAAAGATTTGTCATTCTAATTATCTTTGCAGCAATTTCATACTCGCATTAAAGATTAATTTACTCATTGTCCTCAGGTTCCCCGTGAAAGCTTTAAACACATAGTAAAAGCGTGCGAGTGTCCTCTCTACTGGAAGATGCCGCTGTTCCTTGCGACCCAGCAGAACCTACACGTCCCCGTTGATGGGCACAAATTCATAGATTACTGGAGAGAGTAAGTACCATTTAACATTTTTAAGAATCATATTCGAAATATAAAAAAAATATAAAGGAAATGAATTACAGGTCATAGATTGAATTAACACGATGAAATAAAAGTAATTTGTTGGGACAGAGCTTTTTACCGTTTTATAGAAACCTATCAAAAGGTAAAAAGAAGTAACTTATAAGGGTGAATATTTGTTCTTTTTGACTCTAATTTTACTATTCTTCCGCAGAAATATCTAATAAAGCTTATGAACGTAGAATCATGAAAACGGCTAAGCTTTCGAAAGCCTTTATTAATCAATTCCACAAAGAGTATTCATTGCTAGGCGTATAATGGTATTGCTAAGTTAATAATAGTGTAAATAATTTAGTGTGAGAAAATAATCCTTTTTTTTATTTTAGTTTTCGGCCAAAAATATTAAAATAAAAAATCGTAGAATGTAATCTTATAATTCAGAGATGAATTTTACGGCGCTATATTCCAAATCGTATTAGGGTCGTAATGAGGTAATCAGACAAGCACTCAACGTAAATATGAATAATGTTAACGATGTAATGTTAAACTGATAGGACGATATTCTATCAAGTATTAAGTAAACTAAGTTAAGTTAATCATTACTTTTTTGTAACCTTTTCTTTGTGTCGGTGCTAATAGTAGGCGATCGATCCTATAAACACTTAATGCATTAGTGAGTTGTCCTAGGTTTTCCAACAGAAATGAGGCGATTTGAGCCTTTTTGTGGGACAATTAATGTAAGCCCCTTTTTAATCAAGAACTGCCGACGCCTATGTAAAGTCCCTAATGCTTAGGTTTTCATTGAGTATAAACAAATTTAACGAATGTTATATCTTAAATCTTTAATTTTTTTACACGAGACTAATTTATTAATTGTTCAGGGTGTGTGACAGACTAAAAGTTTCCCTATGTCCTAATGAACCATAAAGAAACGGACGTTTTTTTTAAAACACAAAATCAGACTACCCCAGTAAGTAATCAAAAACACTTGTGTGTTATTCATTCAATAATTAAAATAAATTCCACATTTAAATAGAGAGATGTAACATTTCAAAATACCGGTCTTTTACAATCGAGTTACGTAATAATTAGTTTTAGTGAAATTCAGTGGAGATTGAAACTAATTGATCGGTTTTGAACACGAATTTGAGTGCCCGCTTTCACATCATATACCTACAACCTGCTACTACATACGTGTTTGTCATTAATTTTATTTTCGACCATGGCTACGTGTTCTATTTTATGAGTTGACATGTGTTGACATTTTCATGTCCCACTTCCTACTCTACGTGGGAAGTAACTAGCCTCGAAAATTCCAAAATTGGGCTATTATTCACTTAAGACGCAGCAATAACTAGGCAATTTGATGTTCACGTCGTACCAGTTAATAAAAAAAATATCAGTTTTGTTGCCCACAGTAGGCGTCTCATCAAACCTAAATAAAATAAGATTTTTTCAACCACAATACTCATATTCTATGCCATGTAAATCTTTGACCCAAATTATACGACAATTTTAAACCTCTCTAGGTTATTAAAATCGCCTCAGGACTGCCTCAGGACTTGTAATGGAAAGCTTAAAAAATCTAATTTAGTTTAATTTTCTTTTGATGTATTAATGGAACTTCCTGAATTCCAGCATGACGTCACAGTGCCACGACCACGCCTCCCGCTTCGTCCACATACTAACACGAGGGAAGAGTAATACTTTGGCACCGGAAGATTTCGTACCCCTAGTTCAAGACGTCGTAGATACACATCCCGGACTTTCTTTCCTCAAAGAAGCCACTGAGTTCCACTCTAGATACGTGCATACTGTAAGTTAAAAAAAGATCTACCTAAAACAGATAAAGGAACCTACCCACTTTCTTATTTATAACCTTGCTAAGGGTGAAGACGGGTAACTGCAAACATAAAGAGAATCCGAGAAATGTAAATGGAAAGTTTCAGTAACCGGTAAAATAAATTGGATGGTGTTATAAAAAAGAAGAATACACGGACATATTCTTCTATTTCTTTCATAGTAACGATAACTGTCTAAGTGAAATAATAGTCGAACACATGAAACTGGCGGATTAAAGAGCTGAGGATTCTATGTAGGTAAAGAGCTCAGAGTAACTATCATAATTTTCGAGGATTTCTCGAATGCTATACCTCGTCTTTTCAAGTAAATGCCCTAAGCTCGCTTTGTTAAGGTTAATAATAAAGTACAACAATCAGAAGTCCAATAAATTAGAGACCTTTTCTTTTATCCACCTTCAAAAAGAATAATGTTGCAGAAACTCTGAATACAATATAAAAATATGTAAATATAAATATAAATTTTTACCTATTTCGTTAAAGATAACGCAGAGAACACAGAAAAATATTTACATGTTTTTACTTATTGACTCGATTTAGAATTGAATGATTCGTTAGAAAACAACGGGTGAAACTATTAGGTAATTTATATATGAGAGCGAAACGGAATAGGTGACGTAAATAAGTCTTTGTAAAAGATATTTACTGTCCGTTCAGTATAGATATGGATAAATCAGTAGAAATGAATGTGAACTTAAAACCTATGTGTAAGAGTTGCAGTAAAAATTCAAACCGTGTCTTTAATATTCCCACTAATTCCATGAATACTGGATCTTTTCAGGTGATCGCTAGGATATTTTACTGTGTGAACCGATCTTGGTCCGGCAGAATTAGCATCCCCGAGCTAAGAAGATCGAATTTACTTCAAGTTATACAATTATTAGAAGATGAAGAAGACATTAATCAAGTTACACAATTCTTTAGGTAAAATTATGTATTCTACAATATTTCTTCAGTTTATTAGTGTTCGAGTTTAATAACTTTAGTAGTGTGTTCTACTAGTTGGCCTAGTTTTATGCACGAAATGTTCGATCGGATCTCCTGGGCAGGATCTACGTTCATACAAAGTGCCTATATCTCCGAAGGGATAAGCAGGGACGTATTAATTGTCCAGATCCTGTCATTATTTAATATTTTTATTTCCACTACCTAATAGGGACAAGCCTATTACCACCCTAAAGTACGCTTCAGGGAATAAATGGTAAATTTAAAATATCATTGAAAGGAAAAGTATATAAGGAAGGCAGGGATGTAACTTATGCGATTGATTGGGAATGCAAGCAAGAGGTCGAGCAGTTCAGAGTCATACATCTGTAACCTGAATTAACAATTGACTTGATTATTCCTTTTGTTCGTACGATTTCAAGTAGGTAATCACACTGTGTCAGCCGTGTGGTGACGGATTGTCACCAACCCTATACATTCCGTGGGTGTCGTAAGAGCTGACTAAAGGAGCAAACTACGATGTACTACAAAAATAAGGAAAACTTGACACAAAACCTTATACCAACCCGTCGGGCCGCCGTGGTATGGTAGGCCAAAACATTCTTTCTAAGGAGAGGCCTATGTCCAGCAGTGGACTATGAAAGGCTGTTGATGACGATGATAATAAATTAAGTAGGAGATTGTTTTGTAAAATTTACTTGTAACTCAGGGGTACCACCACTTATAAGAAAATTTTCGAGACGCAAGTAGCGTTGGAAACATCATACTGCCCAAAATTCACTGCTTCATCAGCAGATGAATAAAAACTATCAATGGCCGTCAATGAACGTATTTTTCTATAAAAATGTTATTATTTCTTTGTTTTATATTCTTTTCAGTTATGAACATTTCTACGTCATCTATTGCAAGTTTTGGGAGTTGGACAGAGACCACGACTTGTTTATAGACAAACACGATCTCGCCAGACACAATGACCATGGTAAGCCTTTATGACTTTTATAAATGTCAGTTGAAAAATAATGCCAATTCTCCATATTGTAGTTAGACTTCAATTTTTTCTTTTTCTTTTTTTATATAATACCTATTTTTTAACGTTTCCTGTCTGACAGAAAATCATAGCTAAAGAACATAATTAATTTTTAAAAAAAGAATACCACCAAATGTTATCTTTAATCAAATGATGCAAGACAAAGACCCAGAATTTTCATTTTAAGCCTAGTATATTATAATAGATATTTTAGGTTGCGACGATACAGTAAGTACCGGCTCATCATGAAATACAATGTTAATGTAAAAACACTCAAAAAGAAAAAATATAAACATATACGAGAAAATCCATCTAAAATCCGTGTTCAGAAAATGCATTAAGAAATAAACGCTGTATACTAGGAGTTTAATACGAACAATAATTTTATTTTTACTGGCATTTATAGAAAGAGGCACGTGATAAGTTACATTAAAAGTTTCGCAAGGCGGTTATTACTTTGACTTTGACCTTTTGAAATAAAGACGACAGGTATTACAAAGAAAGCTGTTTCAAGTTAAATCAAAAACAGATTTAATTCATGATACTGAGGACTAAGTATTATCTTAATACGTGGTATACTAATAGTTTTACTCAATGAAAGGGTACTTATACTAACTTTTACCGGAAATACCTACTAGTTATGTATATAAGTCATCTCTATATAAATCTACCAGAAAGTAGCAACGTCATTTTGCTTACAAGCATCCATACCGAACCCTGTTGTGCATCACACTCGCACTCAAGAATAATCCCAGTAGAGTTGATGAAATAAAATATTTTTCCCGAGTTCCTCAGATTTTCCGGTCACTTAAACAATTACATACATTTGTTTCTTTCAGCCCTGTCAAGTCGCATGATCGAGCGAGTCCTTTCCGGATGCGTGACGAGAGGCAATCAGAACCGACTCACACCGGACGGCGAGCCTCGTATGTCATATACCGAATTCGTATGGTTTCTTCTTGCTGAAGAGGACAAGACACATCCTACAGCCATCGAATATTGGTTCAGGTAATTGAATCGTTGTTTTTTTTTAATCTGTTGTATTTATTTAGCCCATTGATTAGCTAGAGAGTTGGTAGAGTAGCTAGATACCATATGGTTTTAACCCAATCGATTCCAGCATAACCACTTTATCGTACCCTTGCATAGTATGTAATAGTATAGTCTTTCTATTAATATAGTGAATGTCTGCAAATTGTCTCAATTGTATACTTACTGTACGATAATGCATCAAGTTTTAATGACAAAAATACTACGTACTCGATGCGTTTTCATTAAAAGTTAAACAAAATAATGAATTTTGCCCCTGTCTAATAACACTAGGTACTTATTATTAATAATTATAAAACAGTTATTAATAATGCTTTCATAACAAACATGATTTATTATACTTACTGTTGATATAATAATTATGTTACGAACCCTTCCAATTTCAAAACTGACTTTGAACTTAGTAAGCCCGCCATGTTTCCAACAAGTTTTAATACAGTCGCACGCATGAGGGCGCTCGCGCGCTCGGTAAACTTTAATACAGCCTTGTCGTAACTCTAGTTAACATTTCTATTATTACTTTACATATTGTGTTTTATACAAAGCCTTTGTTTTAATGAAATGTTATATGTACCACGTCTTTGATTTTAGACAGTGACAGTTTTATTACCTCTCAAGCTTTTGTTTCTTAAAAGTACTTTTTAAATTTAATTCCAACCTTTACATTCTTTAAAATTAAATGTAGAAAACAATATATGCAAATGCTAAGTACATACGCAAACAATATCGTAAGGAAGAAAAATTCAAATATACCTATTAATTTAAAAATTACATTTAAAATACAAGCTTCTTTTTAAATGCCTTAAAAAGCTTTTTTTTTTAATGTCTTTATTCAACGCGTATGTAGTATGCGTATGTATTCATGTCTGTAATGCCGACTGTTGACAATTTCTCTAGTATGAAGCCGAACCTAGGCTTTGCACCATAGTGTATTTTAAAACAGACTATCATAACGTGCTCCAAAACATCGTGACTGTACTTTTTGCAACTGTCTGTCTCCAAAAAAAAGCTTATAAAGAGAAAGAAAACAGTAGCTAATTCTTTGCATTTAAAGTTTTGAAAAAGGAAAATTTAAAATCTTTTTTAATTATATTGGCAAATGTGTACCTAGGATTATAGTATTTTAAAATATTTCTATTTATGATTATTTAAAGGTTTTATTATGCAATTTATACAATGTTAAATTATTATTTTTCAGGTGTATGGACGTAGACGGTGATGGTTATATATCAATGTATGAGCTAGAATACTTTTACGAAGAACAGATGCAGAGGATGGAAGCCATCGGCATTGAGACTTTGCCTTTCAACGATTGCTTATGTCAAGTAAGTCTATTTATTTATATATTACTAAGTAGGTATGGCGTAAATTCTAATCTTTAAAATAACTCATAAACTAACCAATACTCTGAATTTTCACACCCAATTCTCGAAGTGACGTCAATAAACTTCAATCGCAAATGCGGGTTCAATTTATACTAAGCATAATGTAGGAGCTAATAACCATTCGGGCATATACGAGGGGTGATCAATAAGTAATGATAATCAATATGAAACAGAACTATTAGATTAAAAAAAGTATTTTATTTTTCAACATAGTCTCCTTGCAAGTTAATACATTTAGTGTATCTTTTTTCTAAGCCCATGATTCCCTTAGAAAAAAATTCTTTGTCTTGACCCTCCCAAAATGCCTCTACTGCGGCCATCACTTCACTATTGTCCTCAAATTTGTTGCCCCGGAGGTGTTCTTTGAGCCGAGGAAAGAGGTAGAAGTCACTGGGAGCTAGATCTGGCGAATAGGGAGGGTGTTCGAGCAGTTCGAACCCCGTTTCTTCAATGGCAGCCATCGCAACTGCGGCTTTGTGAGCCGGGGCGTTGTCTTGGTGAAACAGCACTCCAGCGCGCAGTTTACCGCGTCTTTTTGACTTAATAGCTTCTCGCAATCTTCTTATTTGGCCTGCGTAGTAAGAGCCTGTTATAGTGGCCCCCTTTTCCAAATATTCCACCATAATAATTCCTTCTGCATCCCAGAAAACAGACGCCATAACCTTTCCCGCTGAACTTGACACTTTGAATTTCTTCGGCGTTGGTGAGGAAGCTCGTTTCCAAGTCATTGATTGTTGTTTGGTTTCGGGATCAAAGTGGTGGATCCAGGTCTCGTCCATGGTCACAAAACGCGACAAAAAAAATTCTTTATCGGCCTGGAACTTTTGAAGATTCACCCTCGAAATGTCGACTCGTTTCTTTTTTTGCTCGTCGGTTAACATTCTCGGTATCCAACGCGCAGAGACCTTTTTCATATGCATTTTGTTGACAATGATTTTTTGAACGCTGCCATAGGAGATCCCTGTGACCTCAGCTACATGCCTTACGGTCACCCTTCGATCGGCCAACACGATATCTTCCACTTTTTTGACGTTTTCTCCAGTAAGGGACGTGGAAGGGCGTCCCTCGCGATGTTCATCTTCAGTGGAGGTTCTGCCCAGCTTAAATTCCTTTGCCCAGCGTGCGACTGTGGAATATGGAGGAGCAAACTCCCCCAATGTTTCCTCTAAGTCGCTGTGTATGTCTTTGGTAGACATTTTTTTCAGGCAGAGGTACTTGATGACAGCTCTTATTTCATTTTTCTCCATTTTGATGTTTTCTCTTCGACAGTTCGTATTCAAATGAATGTATCTCCCGGTAATGGTGTCCTATTTATACATTTTTTTTAAGCTGAAGTAGTGGATATATAAGCAAGCAGAAAAAAAATAATTTGGGTTTTTGTGCGTTCTAGAAATACTCGATTATCATTACTTATTGATCACCCCTCGTATGCTTGAATGCATATAATAAATATTAAATACTTTTCATTAATACATACAATACTGCGTTTATGATAAACCTAATCAAATATTACTAAAATACTTTATGGCATACACTCAAAAAGAAATACAAAAATATAATTATCAAAGAAAATAAATATTAAACTGTCATGTTCTGTAAATGTACACACTTAGTCGTCTACAAGTGTTAAACCAAGTGGGTCTGTAGATAATATTTTGTACTTACCTAAAATGAAAGTAACTCTCAATGATTCGAACGTTAGTCTAACTGACAAAATGTGCCTAACGTGATGCGATAGCAAAATGCTTTTATTTTCCTAACAATGAGAACTTTTTATGATTTGAACCCAATAAGAGTTCATGGCTTTACGCTATAACCATGAACCGAAAGGCTTTTCAAAGGTTAAGTAAACGTACCTTATCACTGCCTCGATACTAAATATATATATTAATGTCTCGTATTCACGGTTTAAGTTTTGTGGAATTTTAACTTATATCGTATCTAAAAACTTTATTTTAATCTTTAAATTAAAAAAAAAGACATCGAGTAAACAGCTTGTATCATCAAAAAGCTAAAAAAGAAATGTTAATAGGTTATTAGCTTTAGTTACGTAGTCTTTTGAAACTTCTATTCTACTTAAAAACAATAAAACTGCTTAGCCCAGCCACTAACTAACTGAATTAGATATTTATTAGTTACTTACACAATTATCACATTAATATAAGACTCTTCTAAAAACGTCCACAAAAAGTGTCAATTACCTATTATAATTATTTTCTTTATCCGACGAGTGGCGTGATTACAATGTGCGTACAAAACGTAAATAAAGATCTAAGAGATATCAGACCATTCATGGTTATAATACCTACGCAACAATTAACTCTAAAAAACGACAATGTTAGAAAAAGTTATGAGGTTAATTTATCAGCATGTACCTTTTTTATAGTTAATAACTGGTAACGTAGAAATGTGACGTTGGTTTTATTGCATTGTATTATTGCACATATTCTTATAGCCACCTATAAGAATACGGATTGTCACCACCCCTGTTCATCCCGTGGGTGTCGTTAGAGTCGAAAAAATATTTGTGGTATCCACGCAGGAAAAAATATTTGTGTGATGAGCACGATCGTTCGTTCTGTGTCTGGGTGTAATTTATCTATAATGCTTATGTTATTAGAAATATTTAAGTATGTTTACTAGCAGTCTGTTTACCATAGCACAGGTTCTGTCTTGTTGGGTATCAGGCAGCTGTGTGTGAGATGTGTAAATTTATTATTATTATTATCAGTTTGTAGGGAGCTCGTCTGTTGTATACCGGTTATTCTTTGACTGATTATTCGGTGATTTTTTACAGTTAGTGATTACTGAACATTTGAAACGAAACACCATAAGTGAGAACTGACCACAATAGAACTTTGAACGGTTATAGATGTCGAGTCCATTTAAATGCAGATGATTCTCATGTAATTATAACGCGGACAAACAAGTTGCTTTCTATAATGATTGCATATTTACGTAATTTACGATTTTTATAGATGCTGGACATGGTACATCCAGCTGAAGAAGGCAAGATAACATTGACAGATCTGAAGAGGTGTAAGTTGACACCGATATTCTTCGACACGTTCTTCAATCTGGAGAAGTATCTAGACCATGAGCAGCGCGATCCATTCGCTACACAACGTGACTCTGATTGTGAGGTAAGATAAGGCAAAACATATATGGAAATAACAAAATATAATAAATATAAACTTATAAATATAAAAATATATACTTCAAAGAGGCGTAGGACTTAGCTAGTAAACCTCCTTGTTATGGATCATAGACAGGTGAGAATAGAGTGGCGGGTAGTCTGGTAGATAAATGCTCTGGCTGTTGGGATCTTTTGTCCTCTAAGTGGTAGCGCTTTCCAGACACGATGGCCAGCAACTTTCGCACTAAGGGTAAAAGAATAAGTGCTTATTGTTTTAGTTACCTCTTAACTGTATATCTACTGTATCAGCTTAATACTGATGTGGAATACGCGATACAAATCCCACTGTACACACGGCAAAGGCAATATTCAAGCAAACTAATAATAATAGTCCGCTAAATTTATTGTTTTAAGTTTACATGTGTGCCAATATTATAAATAACTCTTATTAATAGTACATTAAAAAAGATATTTCGTTTGCCGTGTTGTTGTTGTTGCCATTCACTTGAGTAAAGCTTATATTTTTTATTGAAATAAAAGATTTAGTTCAATAAAGCTTCGTGAACCGACGATTTTTTTAATTTATGTTTTAGATGTCAGAATGGGATAGGTTTGCGGCGGAAGAATACGAATTGCTGGTCGCAGAAGAGGGCGGTAGTGACGCACAGGACCAAATGTAAGTTTGCCGTGTCTAATTTCACCTATTCCTATTATATATTTTATTTTAAACTAATGCAATAATAACATTTATTTCTATCATAAACAGGCAGTTATATAGGATAATGAGAGAATCAGAGAAAAAGAAATGTATGAATCGTTTCATTGAATTGTGCAGAAGTAATGGACTGAACGGATACAGATTATATAAATAATAATTTGTTACTCTGTGGTAAAGTAGACTATAGAATAGAAATGCCTTGAGCCCGTCATAATACCGCACTAGTGGAGTTTAGAAACATGAAGCATTTTGGATGCATTTTGAGGCGGCACATGTTGATCACCGATTTTAAAGACCCGCACTCCCTTAATATGATAACTACTGTCCTTGTAATATTAATATAGCTAGCAAATGTTTAGAAGTTCTAAGATATGTTCTGAATGCAAACGTAAATCACTTAGATTATCTAGTCTGTTTCAAAAACCTATAAACAATCTATTCATGTCTCGTTTTAGAGGTCCTAGTGTGAGTTGTTTTGACATCAACTTGCTCTCGACTGCGTGTTCGGCGTTGCGATTAGTGAATCGAGCTGAATAAACTCACACTTGGCCCTCTGGACTGTTGTGTGTTTAACGCGTGGTACCGCGGCACTCCTAAAAAAAAAACAAAATTTAACGAACAATCAACATACTCATTTTCGTGTTTATGTGTATTTTATTAGGATTACTCTGTCCCCCGGTTTCCCTCGTGTTGTTTCATTGTTGGTCAACAGTTTTTTCATGTCTCGAGCAGTTCTTTTTTCAAGATGAGAGGTAGCCTATTTTCTTTTCTGTATCTCTGACAAAGTATACACAACGTTTAATAATCATCGTTGAAGTCGTAGCGAGCATAGTTAAAACATTTTGTCTCTATTAGCAAAGAAAAGATGTTGTTTAGGACGTTGTTACGTTGTCGGTTAAAGAGAGTTGAGTAGATTACTCGAGCATTTTATTTGCAAATATGAGTTACCATCAAAATAATGACAAGTGTTATTGTATTCATATAAGACACGGGGGAGTAATTTGACATATTTATTTGACAAAAAGACATGAATAGGTAAATTGTTTATAGTTTATTAAACAATGAACAGACATTTACACCATTTAACACAAATGATCATATAATTAGAGTTACCTATTTAGTATCTGTCGTTTTATTATTTGTTTCTATATGTAATATATTTACATTTATGTATGTTTATATTTATTTTTCTTCGTTATATTATATATTGTAATTTCTTTCATCAGGGAGGAAGACAGATCTGGCTATTCTAGGGTAAGAATGTGTTGGTGACTTGCCATGTTTGTATTGTGTACCACTGTTGCACTGGCCGTGTTCAGATAATCCTCTCTCGTACAAACCGCCGCTTGAGAGTTCAGCTTGTGTCTGAAGATCACAGCCACATGGTCTACCTTTTTGTATTTTGCTCTTTGGAGACCACCGATACTACGGTCTATGATTTTGCATTTTACTCATCGATTGTCGCTTACCAGAATGAACATGTTGCACTGAAGTCTGAAATTCACACAAACCAATCATTGCGAAAAAATCTCCCATCCTGAAAACTCTCTGCTGTTGATTTATGCTTGAAAGTCTTTGTCTGCCTTACTGATGAAACACACATATCAAATATTCCTAATATGTAAACACACACAAACGAACAATTTGAGCTTTTGTTTGTAAATAATACCGAGTCAGCATAACGCATGATGCGAAACTAACATGATGAAGTTTTCACTTGCATTCAGTACATATGTCTAATTTCGAATAATGATTGCATATGCTGTACGTCTTCTGACAAGTAAGGTTTTCTTTGTAATTCCAGCTCATACGATGAGACAGATGAGGATTGTTTATCACCGAACCTGGACGACATCACTAATACTGAAGCAATCGAAGACTCCAGCGTGGAGGAGTCAACGCTAAGCGAGTGTGCTGCAGGACCACGCCGAGAACCAGCCCGACCTGTCCACCTCAGCCACCATGCTCATCCTTTGGGACCCGGGGCTACGTCGATCTCCGGTTATGTCAATCTTAGCTCCATATACTCAATAGGTGGTGACCGATGGGCTAACACACAAAACCCAAACACAAAAAACGGTCTGGGCGATAAAAAACTCCCTACCGAGAAACCAGTCCCTCCCGAGAAACCCGTGAGCCTTATGATGGTTAACGGTAAAATGGACAACAGATACGCGGGCTTCGGAAACAACAGTTTTCTATACTCTCAACTTTTGGGCACGAGTGGTACGCGAACGAAGGATCCCCCATCGTACACGGCAGCGACAAGCGGAGCATTCGATCAAACAAGTGAAAAAACGAAACCTGTGACGTCACCGATATCGCCAGTAACGAGCCCCGTGAATGGGATCAATAAGATCTCAGACAACTATGAGCGGGCGGTGGCGGAACGTCTCAGCCCACAGAGAGAAATCTCTAGACTGAATCGCAGCAGCCTCTTTAGCAAAGTTAATACCGGTGTGGTGTCCAGCAAAGTGAAAAAGAAAAGTGCTCGCCAAGACGAAGAGGATGAAGATTACGCTCGCGACAGCGACGAATGTTCCCTTTAGGAAACGCGAACACAGTGATGTTGCCATATACAATAATTAAATATCGTTTTATTTCAATAAACACCAAAGATGCACGATGAATTCGTGTGAACGATAATTACCTACCTTACCAGATTTAGAATAGTGAAGTGTAAATTCATCCGTTAATAGAAACAGAGAAATATTTTTTCAACGTATCCTAGTGGTTGATACGTGCCTTGTGTCAGTGTAAAGACTTAGACGATTCCGCAATCGAACTATAGTCGATTATAACTTTGTTTAGAAAAAAGTGCATTATCATTGATAAACTGTTCTTTGAACATTGGTTTAGTACCGTATAGACTAGCATCAGCATTTTTATAGGGTAGTATTTATGTATATGTATTTTCTTAATTGCGTCTCAAATTAACAATATATCAAACAAAATGTATCTTTATTTGCGTAGAAGTTTATTTATTTACTTTTATTTATATCGCAAATTAATTAATACGATCATATCATTCCTCCATCCAAATCACTCAAAATATTCTAGATAATATACCACAAAACAACGCCGTCATTATAAAGCAGTCGTCCATTGAGCTTTATTTATTTATTTATTATAATAAAAATCAGTATAATAAACACGCACATATTAATTTAGAATAGAAGATAGAAATATTTTTGATAAGGGGTTGTTCCCAGTCCCGTCTGACATCAATCTAAATTCTCTTTTCGAAATATTTCATGTAATATATAAATGACGCGATAACAACTAAATTTAGCTCCAATGCTTGTGTTTAGACGGATGAGTGTCTAATGGCTTGGAGCCGGAATGAAAGAAAAAATATATATTATGATAAGTTGTATGAATTTAAATTAAATATAGCCAAAAATCAATAATTTTTAAAGATCTGGCAGATGTAAAAAGAAGAGGAGCATAATAATGAATGTAGTAATATGAATTAGATTGGGCAGCTGTATAAATAAGCTTTTAGATAATGCTAGGTAGATCACGTTATACTCTAGTCTCCAGGTGCTGAAGAGCCAACTGACGGTCTACCACATCGATTTAATTTGTTTATAAACTTGTTAAAATCGATTAAATCATCAATGTGTTACAGCCAAAGAATCGGTTGTTAAATTTTATAATCGTCTAAAATACTGAGTTATTCACGAATATATATTTGAGTTGTTACAAAAGTATTCTCGTTAGACTAAGTTATAATTAAATTATACTAAGTGTCGAGTTATCGATTTTAAATCCAATTGTTTTTAAATACGTAGTTTGAAGAAACTAATTTTATGAACATGCAATATGCAGATATGTAAAAATTAGTGCCTCATTTATCTTTAACGTTTTGTCACGAATCGTAAAGTTCGTCGAATTCACGTACCTACCTATTCACGAATATTATTAAAAATAAAGTTCACTTTAGAGTTAAGACTAGTCATTTTCCATATCTAAATCATTTCTATTTACAATCCCCAACTGAACTAATTTTACCAATTATTAACCAAATCGATTGTTCACATTTTTAACAAATTTTATGAATATGTTGTGTACTGTTTACATTAGAATAATTTTATTAGTGTATGTTTTAAATACCTAAAGTTTTGAGCTTAGCTGTTTTTGAATTTGGAGTAATTTAGTTAATTAATTTAGGTATTAGATCTGTATTTTAAGTCACCAATTTATAAGAGAAAAAAAATCTGTAAAAAATACTGTTCTAGTGTTTTTTAACTGTTATATGAATTGTGCAAACAAATTCTTATTAGAAATATTCACATCTATTTAAGGTGTTTTTTTTTATTTCCATACTTAATTGAATAAACCCTTAATACTACATGTCTATATTAATATAGAAAGCTGTCGATTTTTTTTTATTATTGTTTGTTTAAACGCCTCAATTTCTAGAACTACCAGACGGACTTAAAAAATCTGTTTGTAATGAATACAGAAATCATTGAGGAAGATTACAGTCTATGTAAGATCACGTTATAGTCGATGGGAGCGGAGCAGTGACCGTAATCGTGTAAGGAACGGCTTGTCTGTATCTATTTCAATGCCATGTTATAAAATAGTGCCATTGTCGACCTTAAAACATAATAAAATAATTATGTAAAACTAATATGACTATCATACATCCCTAGTACTAAAAAAACATTTTTGTTATTAAGGTACTTATTTCCATCCCTAAAGTTAATTTTGCATTTTGAGAAATCATTTATATAATTATGTAATGGATTTTATATAATGTGTGGAATAGATATGTTCCTAAGAAGCCTAATATTATATAGGTCAACTATTTTATTTCTCAAGAGCGTATTCACAAATTTTGCAGGTTTGCCTAAAAATTTGGTAAACTTACTATTTATAAAGGTAGTATTTTATTTTGTCGCATTTCTTGATAGTGGAATGTTTAATTTCTCAGATTCTTTAAATATTTCTTATACCTTTTCTATTACATAAGTTAAGCAATGTTCTTGTTACACATAAAAATAAGTTTTTTTATAGCTACTTGTTTTTAGAAATGAGCCCTAAACTAGGCTCAATAATTTATTTATTTTTACTTTTATAAACTGTTTAAGGTTTTACTAACGTGTGTATTTCGAAGAAGCTTGACTAATTTTGGATTTTAGAGAGGCCTTTTTATTAGAATTCAAACGTCTTACCGCAATTGTGTCTGGTGTCATAGCAGTCATAACTTTTATAACTATATTTTAGTTGGCAAATCAGCAACTTTATGTGAATACGCTCTTAACGTTTAGGTGTTGCAAAATTGTAATTTTACAAAGTAAATTAGGTTTTTTCAATTTACTGTAGGTAGGTACGATTAATGTGTTATTAAATATTTTATCGGTACTACGAGTTAATAGTATTGTTTGCATAATAAGAGAATTAGACACAATATTTAATCTTTTATAATAAATTAATGTAAATGCACAGTTTGTAGACTGTCATTAACAAATTAGTTCAGTAATGTAGTGCCGCGAGATTAATCACAATGAATAATTGTTTAAATATAAGATTTTTTACAGACATTAGAGGTGACAATGAAAATGGTGTGTTAACATTAGATAAGCGATGACAGACCTATTGTTAAGTCTCCTAATAAAGTACATTACTGTATTTACATTGACTTTTATTATTTCGTAAAAACACTGTAGGGATTCTACTTTTTGTTACAGTTTTTTTTTAATTGGTTGATTTACGATTAAAAATACCATTTCATACATATTCACATATTTTCTCTACACACCTTTTTACGACACTGGCAAACAAACAAAAATCAAATGTATAAAGAGTCGTTTATGTACATTGAAATCGATTAGTACATTGAGATTGAATCTTAGATAAAATGAATCTATTAGATATTTACTTAAAAATATAATTCTATTGGAACGATCAAATCTTTATGTTTATACACATAGTCGCCGCAGTGCTTATTTGTCCCATCGACCAAATTGATTGAAAACCATTGATATAATACTTACGTGTTGTTTTAACTCAATGTTGAAAACTAACTTTAAATGCAGTCAGTATTGTTAAGATTAAAATTTCATTTCATTAAAATTTCCTGTTGGTTAAGAAAGCTGTTTGCTCTTAAAACAACAAAAAAAATCGTTTAAATTTATTCTTATTATTTGTTCTATGTCCAGTTTTTGTTTTATGTCCTTCGTAAGAGGTATTGAGTGCTTTAGTGAGCATTTAATATCTTAGCTGGCGATATCACAAGAGAAGCTGAACATATTAATAAAATCATTTAATTTATTGTGTTTTGTGCTTAGATATTTTTTAGACTAATACCTTATTATGTCCGGCACATATTACAAAAGTAAAAATAAACAGACGTAGGCTCAAACTGAAGAGTGAGTGCTTTTTAATTTACCCTCAAGTCCATTATGATTTTGAAACAGGATGTTATTTGTTTGTTCCAAAAAAATCCTGCACGATTTGTTAAAATTGTCTTCCATACAAACCGTGTTCTGACAATAACGCATTTAACAAAAAATATTTATCCAAATCGGTCAAGCCTTTCTCAAGTGATTCTCCGTCATAACATGTATGACAGCAATTGATTTTTACTTTGTATAGATAATTCACTGGCCAGAATTCTTTTTTTCAATCCAATAAGGTGGCATTTTTAAGCAGCCTCTTACGATAAGGGTTTGTACAAGGTGTGTCTTAGTTTAAGGCTTTTTTATGCTTGACAATTAATAAATAAAAAGTAAAAAAGGTACAAGTTTTTTAATTTATAAGCAACTTAACTCTCAAAAGTCAAAGAAATAATTCTAGACACACTATCATTAATGCTAGTCAGTGTGGATATTAAATGAACAACCATTTGGCACTTAGAATAAATAAGCACGCATAAATGGAACGTTCACTTTGTGCTTTTTCTAATGAGTTCTTTCTTTTTCTAAGTAGTCTAATTCATTCGAAATCTGTAAATAACCCTATTTAATATTTAGTTACTATCAGTAGATGAAAATTCTAACAATCAATTCATTGGTAACCTATGTATTGAAAAAGACTTTCAAATCTTGAAAATATGTTTTTTTTCAATAGACCAAAAAAAGACTTGGCCCTGTAAAATTTACCAAATGGTAGATAGGAAAAATAAACACTTAAGCGACAACATAATTGCGATATGGACCACGACGCACATGTTTGTCCAACAGACTCAACACAGTATGTAAGTAGGTACCATTGTATATTTGGGTTTGAATTTCAAGGTCGATTTTATGTTTCAAGGCCTCCATATTCTCACGAGGGTCACTAATTAAGTAGTGTAACATCCATCCTTAACAAAATCTTTGAAAAACTAATGTACTAATTTTGAGAAAATCGATATCTGTTGTGTTTATTACAAGACGTCTTTGGCAACATCGCTTTCATGTTCATGTCATGTCAATAAATCAATTGTGAAACTGTCAACAAATAATAAATGTCATGTGGCGGGTAGTTGCCCGGCACGTAGTTTTTAAAATTCGATCATCATTAAAAACTTGCACAGTATTTACTAGAATGCCGTTTTACGCTGTAGCTAAAGGACGAACGTCAGGCATATTTATGACATGGCCCGATTGTGAAGCTCAAGTGAAAGGCTTTCCGGGAGCAAGGTATAAAAAGTTTGACACAGTGGTAGGAGCTCAAGATTTTATTAATACAGAAGGAGGGAATGGTAAGGGTTTTACAACTAAACAGGAAATTAGAAATACCAGTAAATCCAGTACTAGCACATCACAAAATCTAAAAAGATCGATTTCAACATCTAGTAGTAGTCAAAGAAAGAATGTCAACAGCCAGTCTCAAAAGAAATCCAAAGATGATCGGAACAAGGATGCTAAGAGAGACAGTGAAAATGATGATAATTTTTCAGATGATTCTGATGGCTTAAGTACTATAATAGCAAAACAAATGGATGATATAGAAAAAAGGTTAAAATCTTTTGAGAAAGGAGTTGATAAAATAATTAAAAAAGGTGCTAAGAAAACAATTCTTATTGAACCTCCGCAGAATAAAAGACGGAAAACTAGCAGTGAGAATGATTTTGAAACTGATGATGATGGCTTTGTACAGGTATATACTGATGGTGCATGTTCAGCAAATGGTAAAACTGGAGCTCGAGCAGGTCTCGGAGTGTATTGGGGTGAAGGTCATCGCTTGAACATCAGTGAGCCAGTATGTGGTAGAGCAACTAATAATTGTGGAGAAATCCAGGCCGCCACTAGAGCTATAAAACAGTCAATACAAAATGGTATCACCAAGCTGGCAATCAATACAGATTCTAAATTCCTAATAAATTCAGTTACTAAGTGGATGCCAGGTAAAATACTTATTATATTTTGTATGTCACATCCATTCTTTATTTAAACTATGTATATGAAAAGTACTATAAAGATAGAAGAAGTTAAATAGTAGGGTTTAATTATTGTGGTTATTGCAACAGAATCACATCAATCCTTTGCCACTTGTTGGTAGCTCTATGGAAACAATGTACATAAATTATATAGCAAAATATGTATAGTTTAATCTGTGTGGTGACAGATTAAGAATAATGAGTGTCACCACTCCTTTTCATTCTGTGAGTGTTGTAAAAGCCAACTAAGGGAGCAAACTATGTGTGCAGGACAACAGCACTGCAAAGACAAGGAAAACTTGACACAAACCTTTCTAAGGAGAGGCCTGTGTCCAGCAGTGGACTATTAAAGGCTGTTGATGTGATGTGTATGTATAGTGAAAGAAGATTGTAGCTAACAGTGCTTTTAATGTGTGTTATTTATCTTACACGATTTTAAAGTCCAATAAATATTTAAAAGCAGAAAACCACAATAACATTTTGTATTCAATAAATTTGTGATTTCAGGTTGGAAAAGAAAAGGATGGAAATTACAATCAGGTGAACCTGTGAAAAATGAAATAGACTTTAAAGACTTAGACTCTGTACAGAATAAGATTCAAATTAAGTGGAACTATGTTGAGGCTCATCGTGGCATACATGGCAATGAGATGGCTGACCAATTGGCAAAAGCAGGTGCTACTATGTACAATAATTAAGAAGTTATGTTAATATTATAATCAGCATGTTGAAGACTGTATTTATGATAGTATTGAATATATCCAATAAAAAATACAAACAAACTTGTACTAAGTGAGTTATTTAATATCTATTGGTCACACTTCCATAAGTTACTGACCATAAATGTATACTCTTAACTGCATCCAAGACTCTTATAACCTCACTATAGTTGGGGCTGGCTGAGGCCATGAATTTGGGATCAAGTACTTTGAATGTTTGACCTGACATGCTGACGTAACCCAGTCCCAACACTTGCATTGTTTTTGACTTGGAGAAATTTTACTCTTTCATTGTCGTAATACCAAAATGGCACACTAAACATTTTGACATGTACCACTTTCACCATCATTCTCACTTTCCATCAGGTCAGGTGGAAAAGAAACATTTACTCCAATAAGAAAGAAAAAACAAACTATATTATCAATCGGGAGAAAATGGCTATAACGTTAATAATGTTGAGCCATAGGATTGAGTGGTTCTTGTGTTGTGTCTGGACGACAGCGCATTCTAGTATCAAGCCTACTTAATACTAGCACAACGCTACGCATTGAATCAATACGTGCTTGCAGTGCCATCTATTGTCGAATATCGGAAGATTCCTTCGGATATTCGGGATTAGTAATATCGATAGCACTTTAAAAGCGGAGCGCGAGGCCGACAACTTTTATTTATTATTATTCCCCGCTCGTAACAATAGGATATGTATTATTTTTTTGACAGTTGTCTTTTTTTGGTATAGAAAGAGTTGAAAGGCTATGCCTACAACTTTTTTTAGGGGCTGTTGGATTTTTACGAGGGGTGATCAATAAGTAATGATAATCGAGTATTTCTAGAACGCACAAAACCCAAATTATTTTTTTTCTGCTTGCTTATATATCCACTACTTCAGCTTCAAAAAAATGTATAAATAGGACACCATTACCGGGAGATACATTCATTTGAATACGAACTGTCGAAGAGAAAACATCAAAATGGAGAAAAATGAAATAAGAGCTGTCATCAAGTATCTCTGCCTGAAAAAAATGTCTACCAAAGACATACACAGCGACTTAGAGGAAACATTGGGGGAGTCTGCTCCTCCATATTCCACAGTCGCACGCTGGGCAAAGGAATTTAAGCTGGGCAGAACCTCCACTGAAGATGAACATCGCGAGGGACGCCCTTCCACGTCCCTTACTGGAGAAAACGTCAAAAAAGTGGAAGATATCGTGTTGGCCGATCGAAGGGTGACCGTAAGGCATGTAGCTGAGGTCACAGGGATCTCCTATGGCACCGTTCAAAAAATCATTGTCAACAAAATGCATATGAAAAAGGTCTCTGCGCGTTGGGTACCGAGAATGTTAACCGACGAGCAAAAAAAGAAACGAGTCGACATTTCGAGGGTGAATCTTCAAAAGTTCCAGGCCGATAAAGAATTTTTTTTGTCGCGTTTTGTGACCATGGACGAGACCTGGATCCACCACTTTGATCCCGAAACCAAACAACAATCAATGACTTGGAAACGAGCTTCCTCACCAACGCCGAAGAAATTCAAAGTGTCAAGTTCAAAGGGAAAGGTTATGGCGTCTGTTTTCTGGGATGCAGAAGGAATTATTATGGTCGAATATTTGGAAAAGGGGGCCACTATAACAGGCTCTTACTACGCAGGCCAAATAAGAAGATTGCGAGAAGCTATTAAGTCAAAAAGACGCGGTAAACTGCGCGCTGGAGTGCTGTTTCACCAAGACAACGCCCCGGCTCACAAAGCCGCAGTTGCGATGGCTGCCATTGAAGAAACGTAGTTCGAACTGCTCGAACACCCTCCCTATTCGCCAGATCTAGCTCCCAGTGACTTCTACCTCTTTCCTCGGCTCAAAGAACACCTCCGGGGCAACAAATTTGAGGACAATAGTGAAGTGATGGCCGCAGTAGAGGCATTTTGGGAGGGTCAAGACAAAGAATTTTTTTCTAAGGGAATCATGGGCTTAGAAAAAAGATACACTAAATGTATTAACTTGCAAGGAGACTATGTTGAAAAATAAAATACTTTTTTTAATCTAATAGTTCTGTTTCATATTGATTATCATTACTTATTGATCACCCCTCGTACATTAGTTCCTAGAATACGTAGAATTGTCGTTATTATTGAGAGACTGATTTGTATTTCAAAAATATCCAGACAAACACTATTATGACAATTAAAAAATGAACGGTGCGTATATTTTGGGTACCATAATTATATAGCACATTTTCGGTTTTCTCAGTTAAAATTTGTGTCAGTACACTGTTTATATGAAATTCAGTAAAGATAAGACAAATTTTTAACCGACTTCAAAAAGGTGGAATTTCTTAGTTTTATAAATCAGTTACTTTTTTGTTTGCTCGTTGTTTTACTGAAGGCGGCTCCATTTAGATTTGAATTGTTTGCCATTTCTAAAATAGAAAATTTAGTGATGAAGAATTTAGCTTATTACAACTTATATTGCTTAAGACAAATTGAAGTCGGGCTATTTTTAAAGTAATTACTAGTATGTTATAAATAAATTATTAGCTCTTATGTTTATTTTAAATAGTTTAACTGACATCAACTTTTCGGATAAAAAAAAAAGTGAAGATACACGAGGAGTCGTTCTTCACTAAGTATCACGATAATTCAGCAGTTCAATATAGGCACCCAACAGTTTTTGGCCTACAAGTTTCGATGATTTTTTGAGTATATTTTCCTAATAAATAAATAAGATTTGTATGGTTTCCGGTAGTGCAAAATAATTTTTTTCTTTACACACCTAGCTCCTGTAAACGGTATTTTGCAAAAATGAAAGCACTCACAGTTCTTTGTGAGTGCTCCAATTATTCGTGACCCTGCGGGTTGTAAGGGTTGCGACTATAGTCCTTTCGCATTAAAAAAGGGACTCATGGGTCAACTTGACCAATCAGGTTCCAAGCTTTCGTACGAAACGATAATTTCTAGGCACATGATTGTTCAGGGTCGGGGCTTGATCGATGAGTCATTATTTTCTTAACGCAAATGGATTATAGTGTACTACCAGACTTGGAAGTATTGTAGTACAATAGGCGTAGCCCTTACAATAAAGAATAAAAAAACTACAAATAATCAGTTCCATTGAATATTTATTGAATGAAACACATTACTGTATATACCACATTATGTACTAAAAGCTCTTAATAGTAAATTAACCTTAATATTTACAAACAAAAAATTACTCAACTCTGAATTATCATCCTCAAAGTATAGGTTTTATACTATCGTAACATGATGAAAAAAAAATACGTTTAAGATAGATAAATTTTACCTATTATTTGTCAATGTGGTCACTTTAAAAAGAAGACATTATTTGACTAGCAGCCACATTAAATTTTATCAAATAGACAATATTTCCAAAGCGGCTTAAGTTTAAAAACTACAGAGAAGTATATACAAGTTTTAACAAACTATTATTAAAACTAACATTAATAAGTAAATAACTAAAATGCACATTAAAATGAACTTAACATTAGCAGTCTTAAAATTATTTTACTTTTTACGTAATTAATGATAAATTTCAGCTACAGTTTAACATGTCTATGCTATCTTGAGCAAGAATGTACTGATACATTTTCAAAAGAAAGTAAATATTGATGAGAACATTATTGTTTACAGTTTTATATAAATCATATAATCATATAATCTGATTTCTACACACTGTAGTATTTATTCTAAATCAACAAACAACTCGACGGTTTTCACATGTCAAGTTGAACAGTTCTATGGCAAACTAACAAAATTGAGTACAACATATCGACAGTAAAATATTTCAAATCTCTGTATACTATAGAAATGAAATCATTTAGATTAATTCGAAGCTTAGAATGGTCTTTATGAACAACATTCTGAAATCGCTATGTACGTAGGGACCGTCTGTATGCTCCGTAATAGTACTATTTAAACTCTATTTCTAACTTGATACCAAATTTACGTAAATTACATAGTATTTGTGTAAAGTACAAATCTGATTAAGAGAAACGACGCTTCATGTAGTACGCGTGTTGTATGTCTGCTAAAGGACAATACACATTAGGTTTGCCTCATGTAACATTAATCATTTATTATTACCATTATATAATCCAAATGCAACATCATCTTTTCATTTACATATTTACATAAATTACCATGTTTACTTTATCATAATAAGAACTATATTGGAACAATAATAAGCCTACTACTATTTTAATAATAATGTTGCCATAACAGAAACTTGAATGCTAGAAAATAAATGAAGTGAAGAAAAACGCAGTCAGCAACATACATGCCCAGAAATTGAATGTACAAAACGTGTTTTTTTTTGTTTTGACGAAACTTTAAACCACATATTCTGCACTTTATTTCTAAACGACTTGCAAAATATGAACAAAAAATATTCAGTGGTTTAGAAACAGGAGATTTTTTTTGATTTCGTAATTTGCAACATTATGTGCAGTGCAGTCGCATGCAGTCATAATACATTGACCTGTAGTAAGTGGCAACGTGTGATGTTGATCACACGTTGCCGCTTTTACTACACTCGAATCGAACGAAATATGTTGATTATTGCGTCATCAGGATGAAGGACACGCGTTTTTAATTAGTTCACCAGTAGGTACAGTCAGTCGGCCCTTGGCCACCGCGAATCGCTGTTCTGTGTCCTTGTAGATGCAAATGTGTAAACAATTAATGTTATCGTATGCGCTAGACTTTGTGTTCTAACGAGCCCCGCTAATTTTATTTTGAAGTGTCAATATTAGGTTGTACGTGTAGTGTGTGAAACTGAGTGAATTATCAGTCTTTTAATTTTATACCGTCCTGTATAAGCAATTTTTTTTCAATGCAGTTGTGGCTAGCACTATTGATTTCTCAACTTTCATGACACTTAATAAGGTATCTTAAATATTAGTCATACTTAATTTGACAGTTAAATCTTTACATACGGGATTAAACTATGATCATATCTCATGTAAGGCTAATCGGCTTTTAAGGCCGGTTCCCACCGCAAGCGGGACGGCGAGTCCGTCGGCGGGCGGTGGAGGATTTCGTTTAACCGCACATTTGTATTCCCATCAACAAATAGTCGGGCGGAAAGGACTGAGTGAGAAGAAATAGTTAAAATGAACTCACTGAGTTCTGGGTAGCGGAGCGAAGTAATTACGGAGTCCGTTCAACTCACAATGACAAGTTATATAGTAGCTTTTCTACACATAAAATGTGGGCGGAGCAGAATCAGTAGAAAGTGGTTGTAACGAGTCCGTTAGGATAAGGCAGGACAAAACCCTTGGTAGAAATGTAAACATACTTTATTTAATAGGAGTCAGTCCCGTGTAACTATTTCCTGCTCATTACTCTTTCGCGGTGGAAACCCGGCCTTACACGAGATCATCAGATCAGAGAGAATAACACCCAACCCGCCATTTTATGATTTAATCTGCTGCGCATATATTGACTACAATCTATCCATCAAATTGCTAAGTTCTATGGGACTGAAGAATCGAGCTTATTACTACTGATAGTGGCTAAGATCGACACATATATTCATCTTAGCTCCACTAAAATTCTCTATATTTACTTTATAATAAAATGAAGTTAAATAATGGCGTGCGTAGAACGACCGATGGACCCTAATAATATAGCAAAGGTTCCGTCACTTTATAATATGGTACAAGTAAGTCTAAAATATATTAAAAAAGTTATATATTCACATGCACTATATTAGTATATACATATATAGTGTTCCTTGCGTTATAGTCCTAGCGGAGGTGTGTATGTTTATTACTTCTTAACGCTACTAGTACTTTTTATCCCGAAACAATGTAGTGATCCCATAGATGTGAAAGGAATTTAAATACTGATAAACCGCGGGTAACACCATGTGGTGTTATACACTTGTTTTGAAAATAATAAAGTTGGTTGCCGTTTTGAAAATAATAAAGGTGGTTGCCGTTTTGGAAAAAATAATTGGTTCCTATTGGCATAAGGTTTATTAAAATTATGAACTATGTTGAAAATGTAAACTATTGTTGAGAGAGTGGGGCAATATAGCCAGAATTATAGGTTTAGATTACAGATGGGTAAAGAGCTCTCTCAGGGTTTAGATTACTTTAAAACAGATTTCAGATTCATAGAATACGAGGTTAAAGAAACAACCACCAATTATTGCAGTCAAATATTTTTAATAAATCAATCACTATACCAACCCGTCTGGCCAGCGTGGTATAGTAGGCCAGAACCTCCTTTCTAAGGAGAGGCCTATGCCCAGCAATGGACTAGTAAAGGTTGTTGATGTGATGTGATGTGAATCATTGATGTATACTTGATATAAATGGCTGTTTCTTAAAAAAAGAATGTGATCATTAATCGACAACTATAGAAGCACTATCCATGAAGCTGAGTATATTAATATTGCTATATACTACGATGTATGGCTAATGTAGTAAATAATAATTATTTAAGTAAATACGAGCAACAAAAATATACATATAAGCGGCCTGTATCTAAAACTACAATTAGATATATTGTTACTTTTATTACAAATATGAAAACGTCAGAGATTAAATAAAAAATAACAACAAAATATTTTTCTAAATATAAATGAAGCTACTTTTTTATAAAACCAATTTTACATACTACATAATGTCTGTAACAAATCGAAAGGCTTGATATTATTGCAATAAAATATGCAACACTACGTTAAACTAAGAGTATTAAAAATAAAATCTATGTTTATATGTATTGTTGGTTGAAAATAGCCAACAAATAAAACTTATGTACAAGATGGCGACCATAGTTTTACTACTTTACGGATTATTATTATTAGTACTTTAGAAATACTTTACGCGTATTCTTCTTTAAACTCACTGCAGCTATGTGTTAAGTTCACACATAAGACATGTAATGAATTATGTGATGATGTCTAAACAGGGAACTAAGTGAATGCAAGGCCAGCTAATAACAATTTCAAAAAAACATTAAAGAGGGTGTTACTGACCCGAAATTATACTTCATGTTAAACTTAATTTCATAGTTTTTTGGACACTCACTCATATTCACGGTTTTTTTCAAAGCTTCCCATACGGACGGCTGGTAGGGCCCTGCTCATGAAAAGTACTGAATAGTATGCGTCCGTCGGGTTGGAGTCACCACCGCCGAACTGTTTGAACCGCCACCTACAATCAAATACCCGCCAGATGACACCACTTTTTTGTTATTTGCGTTTTCCTCGCTATTCATAATCTAAAAAATAAAAATATTATAAAAAATTAATCACAGTAAAAACAAAATGGAATGGTAAAATGATGGTAAAAAAAGAATTTATCTGTCTGTTTGTTTTCACCAGCTAATCTCCAGAACGGGTGGGCGGATAGCTGGTGTCATAAGGAATAACTTAGGTTACATATATACATAACTAAATTGATAAACTATTACTAAAAAACCATAAATGCAGTATTTTTCATACAACTTTATAAGATATCACGCACACTACTGAACGTTTCCGCAACAGAAAAAGTATATTTAAGAATATATTTAGCATTTGCTACACTTTAATAATTCTTCTAATAGCATTTATCTTTCCCCAGTAGTAAAGGTTTTTGTGATTCATCTCAACAAGCGGTTGGAAAGTACTAATTGTTCTAATAATTATTTATCTAATTATATATTATATATATATCTAATTACTTGTATAATTCTACTATAAAACATTGATCAAATAGGATGCAGGCTGTCATAATAGCTTGATCGTTACCCAATAATGGCGAAATTCGTATAACTGGACGGGGTTTTATTTAGGCCATCATAGTATTGGACAAATCTAAATGGTTCTTTACGATACAACCAACTACTTATTAATTAGACCGACATCAAAGGACTGTAATCAACTACACAATGAAGTTCTTACCACAAATATGGCTAAATATTAGGACTATGTTCAGCTGTTTGCACTCGAAATGATATGATTCACGAGGCATATACAGAATGTTTTCCCATTTTGGAATCCTTATTTAAATGCGCCAACTTTTTAAGTTCGTGTAGTACTTTTTTTTTCAGTAGAGTCATTTAAAACTGGGCAAGTATTAATTTTAAATACTTGGCTATGTAAAAAATTACATTTGCTTCTGGACTAGAGCAATTGACTGTAAGTTTTAAGCAACAGGTTTCAGAAGCATTATTCAGGTTTACATTATAAAAAGAAAATTTAAAAAAGTAAAAATTTGTAGTAACAGGAGCTCAAAGACCGTCACAAGGTGTTGATATTCTAGTATTTTATAAATGCCAGTAATATTTTAAATATTCACCCGATGTCGACTTCTGGGACACCCTGTATGTATCACTTCTATTTACCAATTTGTGATAAAAACTACTTATATCAATAATAATAGTTTGACACTTGATTTAGGCCATCTTACCTGTGGCAGAGTAACTAGACTTCTGATATACATACATCCATACCAATATTATAAATGCGAAAGTGTGTCTGTCTGTCACCTCTTCACGCCTAAACCGCTGAACCGATTTACATGAAATTTGGTATAGAGAGAGTTGGAGTCCCGTGTAAGTGTGTATGGGGAATCAATAACCGTTGAACTGATTAAGATGAAATTCGGTATGCAGATTGTTTTAGTTGTGGATAAAGACATAAGCTTAGCTTATCGCGATAACCGACATAAACGCGGGCGGGCCGGAGCCGCGGGCAAAAGCTAGTATGTATATATTGTATGGGTGGATTTCGTTCATTTTTGAAGTTTTGAAGAAAAATCTATAATTTGCCCCAAATCATGTTCTTATGTATTTTTTGTAATAAAAAAAAGGATCTCGTGAGGATGAAAAGAAACGTGATTATCTCAAAAATTTGGGAAATAAAGTGCAAATTAACTTCAAGAAATATAGTAATAAAATATATTCAATCAAATAATAGATAAAAAATCAAAAATGCCCTTCGAAATCATTTCTATGAATAATTAAAATATTTCCTCTTTAGAAAAATACTTAATCATAGTCACTATCTGTATCATTGTCGCTAAGAAATTGATTTCCTGAACCAAATGAAACGTCAATTGGTTTATGAGGTACGAAACTGTCATTATAATTTTTAATCTTGATACTATCTTCTTATATGTATGGACTTAAAGTCAATCCTGGGTGCAAGTCTTTTCAGATATTAAATTCTTCGATGTTTCCAGCTGACCTTACACGAGCACTAGATTGTCTGTACCTAGTCCATACAAAGGGGTCAGAAATCTCATACATTTCGTCTACATTACAGTTATCGTCTAAAGTCCTATGGAGGCGAGCGATATACATTGTTGGTGGATGTGACACTCCATGCATCTCTGTGTTGAGCTGAGTTTACAATGAAGTTACAGTGAGAGGATGGAAGTAAGTTTATCGTCTTCAGATTTTGTCATAACAGTGGTCAATATTACACGTCCAAGCACTCTGATTATTGAGTGGTACGATAACTCTCTAGAGGCTTAGAAGGAACAAAGGAAGAAAATTGATGGGAAGCTACAATCTTACAGTAATACATACTTGTTTGTTGAGAATGATTGGCGACATGTTCTGCGCAGGCGCCGGCGACTTGTACGTACCTAAGCATTTCATTGTCTGGTTGCCGCTTTGGTCTTCTACCATGCTTACTGTAAATAAGAAGTGTTTTTCAAAATAAAAGAATTATAACATATCTAATATGAGTTATATTTATGACGGGCCTGTTGGTCTAGTCGTTAGTGACCCTGACTGCTAAGCCGGAGGTCTTGGGTTCGATCCCCACCCGGGACAAATATTGTGAGATGAGCACGATCATTTGTTCTGTGTCTGGGTGTAATTTATTTTTAATATGTATGTTTTTAAAAATATATAAGTATGTTTATCAGCAGTCTGGTTACCATAACACAGGCTCTGCCTAGTTTGGGATCAGACGGCCATGTGTGACATGTGTTAGGTATATTATATTATTTATATATTTATTAATTGTTTCACAGAGTACATTTACAATTTCATTGCAAATGTAATGTTTCAGATCAGAATACGAATTAGGGTTAATTTACAATTTGTGTATGTCTGGTACAATTGACAATGTAAACATATTATTGTATTTCAACCCCATTAATAATATTTAATTACATGTAATTATAATTAGGTTTCTTTAAAAAGTTTTGTCATTCTAATAATATCGCTGACGTCGCCCCTTGGTTTGGATCGCAATAAAACCTCGTTATAAAACTCCCTCAAAATCTTTTTCAAACAATTTATTGACATAAAAATATGTATCTATTGATGTTTGGTTTGTAACTTAAATAACATAGTTAGATACGAAAAGGGCTGGTACATACCAATAATAGCGTTTTTCTGTGTATTGACGTTATGTGGGTCTTGGGTATAGACGCGCGAGGGAGCCAACTTGCCGCCGACCGTGAGGGCCGGCGCTGCCGTGTTTTTCTGTAACACCAATATACCCCAACTGTGTCATAAATACGTGCACTCTACTAGACACACCTGCAGCTTGTCACTTAGTGATGTGAGACAGAAGTAAAAACGAATACAACATTACGTTTTTTTAATTTTTGCCAACTGATGACAGGCCTTAAGTAACTCCAGTTTTGTATTTATTCATTACAGCTAGTACAGCGTTCACTATTGTATTTTAAAATAAAATGTTATACCATTTATACTCATATTATAAATCTGAAGAATATGTTTGGTTGAACGCGATAATCTCAAGAAGCACTGGTTCGAGTTGAAAAAATATATTTTAGTGTTGGATTTATATATAGCTATAGGCTATAACATCAAGCTTCGATCAATGGGAGCCGAGCATCAATGAAAAATGTTGCTGAAACAGGGAAAATGTATTTCTTCGAGAGACGCAGACGACAACGTTGGGACAGTTAGCAAACATAGAGAGGTTGGTAAATAGTTGGTAAAGTATTGAGACGAAAAGAAATATCCACATCTTAATGTGGATATTTCCCCTATTTTCGAAACTAGTATATCCTAAAAGATCCACCTCATAAAAATCTGTTGAGTGTATTAAAGTGGACATGAAAGTGAACAAAACTCTATCATGGATTTTTTCAATGGTTTTAAGTAGACAGAGGGGATATTTCTCGCTTCGTAGCAACAGCGTCACAAGTAGATTCTCTCGTCTCTCGTTATGTATTAAACAAAAGGAATGTAGTTAATCTTATCATCAACTTACTGGCATGTTGTCTGGCTGAGCTTGTAGTCTCGTTTCAGTCGGTGCGGGGGGCTCATTAGCGTTGCTTCCATCCTGTCATATAAATGTACATTGTTAGATAAAATCATGTACAAAGACTCTTACTACGTTAATAAAAGGAATATAGGCTCTTTCCGCAAATTACTACCCGAAAATCAGTAGTAAAAAGCTGCTAATGTAGACGGGTATTTAGCAAAATTTAAAAAAAGCTACAACATTAACGATTATTTAAATGACAAGACTGCTGGGCAGTGCCATGGACTGCTCATTATTTTTTTACGTAACCAAATAATGTGTCTTATCTTACATGTAAGCAGTACAGTACACAATACTAAACATATAAGGAAAAAGCCTCTATCAGTTTCCTGAGGTTTCTTCTCACTTTGCCTCAATAGAAGCACAAAAAATAACGAATCAAAAGAATCATTTTATTGATAAATGATGATGTATTTAATTTTTACAGAAATAGTGGGGTAATAAAAAACAGAATTACCTGTCTTTGTTGAGCACACACATTGAAGTGTTGGGACCAGTGCGCTCTCTGGCACGGATAGTCACAATACGACGTGTTCCAACAACAATAGAACTGAGCTTCTTGACTGCAGTTTGCACACCTACAACATACGAATTACTGAGATTTTTTCTAGTAATAAAATGAGTATGAAAGTGGTTTTAGTAAATACCACATTGAACAGTAATTTAGAATAATGAATGAATGAGATAGACTAAAGAGCCATGCTTCGGTAGATATGGACCAGCTCGGTCGGAGTGATACTGTGGCGACTTCCACATACGGTGAAACGAAGAAGTACTACAGCACTATCTAACGAAGACACACAAAACTACAGAGTAACTGCTAATCCTGTATCGCGATATTAACAATTCTCTCGCCGATTAGCATATATACAACTTCCCAACATCAACCGTTCGACCGCGGATGATCACCTCCCTTTGTGTTGGAGGAACATGACACAATAATTATGGCCTTACAGAAAACTGGTGTAAAGCAATTCTTTGGTTAATTTTCATCAAGTAATAGAAATTACCAGAGTCTACACACCCTTCCTCATCCTTAAACCCCTAGACTTTTTCAGTTGCGAGGTTATTTGAGCGGAGGTGTGGTGTATTACACCCACACCCTTGCGTTAATAACCTACGAGCTTTGTTTCATATTTTTTATTTTCAAATTAATAACATAATTGAGAGGTTTGTGTTTTTAACTCCTGGAACATCGATTGAGTGATCAATAATGTGATCAGTATTTATACTGTGTTTGATTCTATTTAGAACGTATTAAAAGAACTCAATCGGTGCAGAACTTTTGAGATCTTAAAGCGTACACAAAACAAACTTAACATTTTTTTATATTTAAATGAAGAAAACAAACACCCTAATCTATATTTAGATTAGACTTGCAACGAATAGTATATTCGGCAGTATACCGAATACCGAATATTCGGCGAGGCCCCTGACCGAATAGCCGAATATTAGGCAAAAGTATTCGGCTGGATTTTAGCGCCAAAAACTTGTACAGACGTGAATTAAATTATGTACCTGTTTTATGTACCAATCACTACTTAATAAATGATTATAAAAGAAATGAGAACCTTACCCTTCTAAATTTTGATTACTACAATAATTCAAATACATAGAATCCTCCATTTTTCCAATTCATAAGATGATTATGTACCTGTGTTATGCACCAATGACTACTTAAATGATTATAACAGAAATAAAAATATGAATATATACGTAATCAATCGTTTTTAATTTTTCATTTTACCAATTATTTCTCAATGACAAAATATATTATTTAAGTATTCGGTATTCGGCCGAATAATATGTAGATATTCGGTATTCGGCCGAATATAATAAAAGCAGCCGAATAGGCCGAATACCGAATAGTAAACGAATATTCGTTGCAAGTCTAATTTAGATAGATAGTTTATAGTTTATAAAAAAATGCATTCATATTTAAATTCACTATCGAAGTGATGTCCATTAAATCAAATTTAATTTTACATTTAAGCAGTTAATGTATAATAAATAGCTTGGCTTTAAGACCCTACGTATAAAATTACTTTCGAGATGTCGGGAGTTTTTAGAGCTGTAAGTTTATCAAACTATATATGTAGCGTGCACTGACCACTGCTTGGACTTGGCGAGCTTGACGGCCGCCTCCATCTCCAGCTGGGCCGCGCGCCGCGTCTCGGCCACGGCGCGGGCCTTCTCCTTCTCGAACAGCGCGCGCATCTCCGCTATCGTCAGCTCTGCAATATTGTATACTCACTTTACTATTTCGGCATCACCAGTGACGTTATACTTATGTCACATCAACAGCCTTTAATAGTTCATAGGCCTCTCCTTAGAAAGGAGGTTTTGGCCTACCATTCCATGCTGACCAGACAGGTTGGTGCTGTTGTCCTGCGTAGTTTGCTCCCTTAGTCGGCTCTTACGACATCCATGCAATGAATAGGGCGACACTCCGTATTCTTAATCTGTCACCACACGGACTTTTGTATTACTATATATACGGACACTAAACTTATGTATAACTTTAATATTTAAATGTATTTATAACCGTGGCACTGAGTGAAAAAATGGTCTCTTTCATTCGCCAATTCCTTTATTGCTTTTCACCAAGTGAGTGAGATTATTTATTTATTTAAAACTTAATGCACATGCCTTATAAAAGCGGACTTAATGCAACGGGGCAATTTCTCCTAATCAACCTTCAGATGATATAGGAATGTGATGCGGTAGGTGCAAAAATTAGATATAAAATTTGACTATAAGTTAAAAGAAACATTAGATATACATATATTACTATACATAAATTCACTGCTGCATATTATATTGACATAGACGTCCAAAAGTATACACAATACATACACATACATAAATTGATATATTTATACATATATATTATCAGAGCCTAAACCCCAGATTCTGAGAATCATCCAAAAGACGGCAACATACTTGTGACTCTCAAGTTGGAGTTGTCCATGGGCGGCGGTGGTCCCTTAACATCAGGCGACCCGTCTGCTCGTTTTTCCTCTATGTCATAAAAATATAAGGTATAAGTTTATATATGTATACAACTTCTTTAAGAAAAAATACTTTTTTTCATTACAAAAACAAGGAATATTCAGTAATCTCTGCACTTCACATACGTTGATTGCGTTTTATTGTGATTGATTAACGTAATATTATTGGAACGAAGTTTCTTATCGCGCGTTACACGCTCTGAGCGGATGGGACCGAGACCGAAAAATGTGTAACAAGACTTTTCTCTGACACTCACGCTATACGTCTACCAAAAAGCGAAAGTAACTTCGTTCCGACCGGAGGTCCATAGACCCCTCACGCCGTTTTATTCTTGTATGAAGGTGTAGGATAAGACACTGTTAACTGTTATGGCTCAGCTTAAATCATATCACAATAATTTTTGTTATTAATGAGCATAAGCTGTTATAAAAATGTTATATATTGGTTTAGATAGTGCTACATACCCTGGTTATGTTTAATTTCTTCTATTTCGGTTTGGTGTTTCCATTTTGCTTGTTCTAACTGTAGCCGGGCGGTGGTAAGCTGCGTTGCGGGATCGTCTAACTTTTCTAGAGAATCTTCTAATAATGTGCGGAAGAAATCTGTTAACTGAAACGACAGAACAAAATCATTTAAATATTTTGTAAAGAGCTTGGCCATTTCTCATTACAATATTAAATATAAAGGCGGTATTAAATTGACATGAATATGAAAGTTAACACACAAAAGTGTTAAATGATAACTATGCTAAAACATTAAACTACCGAGATATCAATTATCATTAAAGTGCTGTTAATGACATTTATTTTTTTAAAGAATGAGATGAGTATCACACATTACGAGATTTCATATGAACCTTAAATTGACAATCTCTTAGCTAACCACGCAAGTAAAGTATAATTTTCATAAGGTAATTATGCTTTGCCCAAGACTAAATAAACCAGGATCGAAAAATTACCTTGACAGCGTTCTGGTTAAGTTTCGCAGTGAGAGGTCCAGCAGAGGACGGCGTCGGTATATTGCCGATGGGAGCGTTGGGGTCCAATGGGTTCAACAACAGTAGCGCCGGTCGCTGCTGCAACCGAGGTGGCTACACAAAATTAATTACATTTGTATCATAATATTTATACCATTACATAATCTGTAATACGGGCTCCTTGGTTTAGTGGTTAGTGACCCTGACTGCTAAGTCGAGGGCCGCGGATTCGATTCATACCAGTGACAAATAATTAGCTGTGTAATGAGAACGATCATTTGAATTATGTGTCTATAATATGTATTTAAGTATGTTTATCAGCAGTCCGGTTACCATAGCACGGGATCTGCCTAGTTTGGGATCAGACAGCCAAGTTTGAGATGTGTGAAATAATAAAAATTCCTATGAATAATTAAATTTAGTTGATGAGACTCATCAGTGAACAGTACTTACCTCTCCTGGAGTATTATTTTCACCAGGTGTCTTGGCAGTTGCAGGACGCATAGTTTGCACTGACGCATTGCCGGCGCTAGAAGGTCCTTGCAGCTGTTGGTTGTTTTGTGTTGCACTATTAGGTAGTGGTATGAGAGATGCTGCAGTGTTGTTCCGATCTGCTACTCCGTTCAATATCGGTGGTGATGGTGAAGTCTGTGTGAGAAAAATATCAATATGTTTTTGTTTTAAAGTATTTTTGGCCTAATTACACTTCGCGTCAAATGTTGTTGTGGTTTAAGCTGTCGCCACGTCCTTTTCTACTGCGCTGAGTGTTGTGGGTTCTATCCCCACATGGGACATCCCTTTGTGTGATCCACAAGTTGTTAATCTGAGTCTGGGTGTTCTTTGTGTCCATTTTAAAGTGGCAAACGAGTTAAATACAGATTATAACACTTTTGGTAACAACTACGGAATAGCTATGAGCATATTATCAATTAATACACACTTCTAGAATTTTGTTTAATATTAAATTTATTCTATTAAGGTGGCAAATAAATAAAATAATTTAGCATATCAATAACAACAGATCAAAAAGGTAGGAACTAACTACATTTATGTTTTATACCAGGCGTTAAAGCAAAACTGGATGTTTCTTCTTGCAATTTATTTTTATTTAATGTGTTTTTTGCAATCAATAAAAATAAATTGCAAGTAGAAACGTCAATTTTCATAGCTCATTTTCTCAATAGCATGATAACTTACTTCTAAAGCTCCAACGGACATGACAGGTTGGAAGCTGAACATCCACTGCCCGTTGACAGACGTCATCATCGGCACCGTGTGCACCGAGGACGGAACGGGTCCTAGGGTCGCCATGGTCTTAGACGAAGTCGTGGTAAGCGCTGGGGCGGACGGCGATGATGAGATGGATGAAACTTGCATTACTGGAGTCGTCACTGTGTTTACTAGGCAGTTGGCTAAAAACAAAATATGGGTAGTACACAGTGACACAAAAAGTGTTAAATTTATACTTCGTTTTTAGATGGAATAAGTATTGTTTACCAAAGTTATTAAAAAAGAAATTAAATATAGATGCAAAAGTGTAATGTTTTATACAAGGCCGTATGATCCCAAATTCGAGATTTGCGACTGTCATCGAATTTCGTATTTACGATACATACGATAGTCAACAAACGAAATCTCCGACAATATTATAAAATATATATATATATATCATAAGGGGGCAAACGTGCAGATGGGTCACCTGATGCTAAGTAACTACGAACGCCCATGGACAACAGCAGCTCAAGGGTCACATGTGCGTTGCAGCCACTTGAGTCCCCTAGAAACAGGGTTGAGAGGTTTGGCCACGGTAACCTGACTCACTCAGTTAAGTAACGAAAAAAATAGTTTAGCACAGATTTTTAGCGAGGCCGTGGTATCACTTTGAGCAGCAGAACTATTTGTGGCGAAGCATGGTTCTCCCACTTTCTTAATCTTCCACAAATCCCGTTAATCGTGATAGTTGATCTACCCTTAGTTAGATTGCAAACACATAAACTGGCGTCCCAAAGTGGCAAGGCGTATCCTTTTCGGAGTATTCTTAAACTAGTGCTAAACAAACATAAATCCATATGATATACAAATAGTATTTTTATAACTATGAACTAACTACTACTACTACTAACTTTCCCGTAATTTTACATAAGCCTACATTTTATTATACTCACATCTTTAAAACGTTCAAATAAATAATCAAACTAAAAAACTCTTAAGCTCTTTTATAATAGCACATTTAGTACAGATAAGCGTAATTATTATAAATTAAAAAAAATTAAACATTTCGATCATAAAACTATTCCTACCCTATATAAGTTTGGCGATTCCGACATTCAATACAATGACAAAAATAAAAATAAGTATTAAACTTGCAGAATAGAAACTTACTCAAAGTGCTTGAAGCCATTGATGGCTTAGGAAGACACGGCCCCGCAACAATCCGCTGCGGTCTGATGGGCGCTTGAGTCATCGGCGGTTGAATAGGAATGTAAACCATGCTATTCTTACTGTTTAACTGCCCATCTTCCGGCTTTTTGGGCTGAGGGAAGGTCTTCTTGGCTCTTGGTCTTACTTCAACAGGTTTAGGACCGGCGGTCTTCTTTGCATTTAGCGGAGTTACCAACACTTTGTTTATTCGAACTTCTCTTAAATTACTGGCCGCGGCTGGTGGATTAACCGGTCGCAATCTAAACGCGTTCATAAGATTGAGTTTCTCAATTTGCCTGTCAGCATCATCTACATCTATCGGTTCTGCTTTTATTTCGATTTCAACGTTGTCGTTGTTATTTGGTGATTTCTCTGGTGATGTCATTCTTGCGAATGCTCGAACTCCCACTCTTCCAACCATGGATTCTGCGTCGTTTCGTTGTTTTGAAGTTTAGACGCATCTTTTACATTTTTAACACTATCTGCACTGGTAGGAATTAATAAACACAAGTCTGAATTTGTTGTCATAGTACCATCTGATGTTCGTGCATTACTTGTACTTTTGGTGATGGTGACGCCAGTATTCTGGGCAGTGGTTGACAAACTTCTGACACAACTGATTGTGGGAAGGCCTGTCGTGTTGTTAGATATTATTACAGTTCGTGATTCGCGAGCGATAACTGCAAGACTTGTGTCATCGTCAAAATGAAGACGATCTTTAACAGATGTCACGATCTCAGAGTTGGGTTTTGGGGAACTTATCTTGTCTTTTCTTAAACTTTCTGTTTCTGTATTGTTTTCTTTAGTAGAAGTACTATTTTCTTTTGGAATATCTTTAACTTCTTTCGGTTTTTCTTTACTCGATGTAGTTTCGTTTTCAGACTTTGCAATCTTTTCAGATTTCTTTTCAGCGGAAGTGTGTCTGTTTTTATCTGCTTTTGGTGTGTTGGTTATAGACTTATTTCTTGAATTTCGCCTTTTCTCAGACCTTGTTAATTTTTCTTCCTTCGGTGTTTTATCACCATTTTTTTTCTGTTTTGGAATGTTTTTGTTTAGTTGGTGTATTTCTCTCGTGATCTTTGTCTCTATCTTTTTCTCTAGTGGGGTTAAGTATTTTGGCCATGGCTTCTTTGGCTGTGTTAGTTCTAAGGTTATGACGTCTGTCTTTTTGTACTAAAGCTATTCTTATCGGTGTTACCCTCTGTTTTACTTCTTTTTCGGGATCTGATCTTGTACTACTTGACGGTTCATTATCTTTATCCTGAATTTCATCGTTATTGGTGTTTTCATTACTTTTCTTTGATTTGTCAACACGGAAATCATCACTATTTGGTTTATGATTAATTTCTTTACTGCTGCTTGGTTCACACTCTTCAGATTTCTTCTTCTCCTTTTCTTGTTTATTCTCATGTTTCCTTCGTTTAGGTTCAGGGGGGTTATTTGAGGACTCAATTATTGTTAGGACTGCTTCTTCCAGGTCTGAACGACGTCGTTTTCTGGAAGGTTCGCTAATTTTATTCGATTGTGAAAGCATTTCGGTACTTTTAGGCTTCTGTGAAACTGATTCGATCACTTGACTTGTCGTGTCCACATCCATAATTTCGCTGTAAATATAAAGAGAAAATTGAAGATACTTTAAATATTTCATCATGTGTAGCGGAGAACTTTACTGACATCCATGAAATGGACACAAAGAACACTCAGACTCAGAACAACAATTTGTGGATTACACAAAGTGTTGTACCGTGTGAGGATCGAACCCACAACACTAAGCGCAGTAGGCCGCGGCGAGTTGACGTCTTCAGCCACTACGCCACCCGTGCACTAACCAATGGCTTACATTTATACAGTTTTTGTATGTCGGCTAAAGAGTTAAAACTTGAAAGAAGAAAGAGAGGTACTTTTGCAATAGTATTATAGATTTATGCATCTTAGCTAAATATATTTTTAAATAAGCTAATAAACCGATTAAAAATCTACTCTTTTACCTTACATTTATTGTATAACTATTTAATATAACCATTCTTTCATGAATTTTATTTATTAATTTAACACAAAACTCGTTATCCAACTGATATTCCCAGATATTAGCACATTTTTATTAAAAAGACAATTTAGGTACTTTCACTGAGTTCTAATAAATGACTTTAGAAAACCTGTCATTTTCATACAGAAACACTCACAGTTTTTCAGTAGTGGTATCTTCGTCTTCTCTTGCGATTTCAGCACCGTCGGCCATTTTTCTAGAAGCAACTGTTGTAGGCTGTTCAGTTTCATTCACATCTTCATTTTCACTCATTTCTCTGTAATGAAATTTTTTTCTTTACTTTATCTTGATGCTGACTTTAGTGTGTTTGGCATATTTTACTTAAAAAATCCTAGTCAAGTTTGAAGTTCAGAAAGAAGGAATATGCACAACTTATTAGATTATTTATCTATTAGAACTTATTAAGTTTTACAGGTTTGAGATATAAAGTTTTGAAACATTTAATACAACTGTTGGCCTGTAAGACGTTAACAATCTTCTTAAGATTAAAAAAGAAACATTTAAGAAATAATTTTAAAAATGGTTAATTTGTAATGCTTCCACTTTGTTACACCCAATTTCACGATCATTACCTTACTTCACGCACGCAAAATTATCCATTGTGCATGAACTAACGAAATGAACGAACATGCACTTGTTTATTATATTATATACTAATGCAGTACATTACATCAACAGCCTTTAATAGTCGACTGCTGGACATAAGCCTCTCCTTAGAAAGGAAGTTTTGACCTACTATACCACACAGGCCACACGGTTTGGTATAGGTGCCTAATGCAGTAAATAAAAACTATTACTAACCCATCATTATAGGAACACTTAGAACTTTTTGAATTGGATCTGCTCTTCTCTTTGGTATCTGTAGAGGGCGTGTTCGACTTCTCTTTAAGAGACGTTCGCACTTCTCCCTCGAACGACGGTATCTGCAAAGCGTAAAAAAATTGATAACCTTTAAAAAACTCATAAAAAATACGGCGGAATTGGCGAAGGATTTATACTTCTCAAATTGTGCCACACATGCGTCAACAAAAAGAACAAGACATGTTTCACTATTATATCATCATGATCAATAGCTTTTAATAGTCCACTGTTAGGCGTAGGCCTCTCCTTAGACAGTAGGTTTTGGCCTACTGTGTTACACCACGATGGCCAGACTTCACTATTATATAGTGCTAAAATATGCTGTTTTATTAAACTTATTTCTTGCAACATTCCTTCTTTAATATGAATTTAGTATTTGCATTTAAATTTTACTTACCATCATTTTGAGATGTTCATTCAGTTTGTTGGGATTAAATTGTGTTTTGAAAGGTGGGTAGATAAATTTGCCATACTTTTTAGAAATATTTAAAATATGCTGTTCAGCTTCCTGCAAAGTTAAAATAAGTCTTTACATAGTATATGTTTAAGTATACGCTTACATTGCAAACGCTGACTGATACTTACGAGATAGACCAAAATAATTTACTACAGCATTTTATATCCTAAAAAGATCTACAAAAAAGTCCGCGAACCACAGTAGCCATTTTTATCTTTTAAATAATACAAAAAAAAATGGGTTATTTACAACACTACGTTATTATTCCTTATCCAATTAAATACGTTGTGCATTTAATTTAGATTAAAATTGAAGATGTTAGAGGTTAAAAATAGGGGGCAAAGCGGCGATCGTCCGTCGCGGGTGACAGCGGCCGGTAGGATCTGAGTGGGCCTATAAATATTGCATATAAAGATATCCTGTAGTATAGTCCTATCATAGTAATAGTATAATTAATTACTTCACACTGACAATACATTAGTAGTATCTACCTTGCACCCGTGCGAAGCCGCTATCGGATCGCTAGTAGTCAATAAATAGAAACTCATTTTCACATTTAGATTACTGTTCTATTAATTTAATCCGTTTCCTGTTAGAAACTTTACAGTAACCATCTTTAGTACTATTCTCCGATAGAGCGAAAAGGAGGCCAAGAGAAATCATCATCTAAAATAATTTTAACTAAGGTATTCTTTATATACTTACATGCATACTGTCAATAATGTCCTGTCGCTTAGTCCTAAAGTTATTAGGATCCTTCTCAGAGTATAAGAAGCAGTCTTTCGCTGGAACCCAAGCGCGGTCATGTGCTCCAAAGAAACGTACGTCCACGTGTCCTGCATTACTCACCGACATACCCTTTGCCGGCCAGTAAGGAAATCCTAAAACAAAAAAAAAACTTCTTTTACGATTTATACCAAAATATTTTGAGACATACGAATTCAATTATCCTTTAGACAGCAGTAGTCAATTGAAGAATAACCTCCTCCTTACCTTTGGTTTATCAACCCTTTTGATATTATTAAATTAAGGATATTTTTCTTCTTCTTGGACAATCCATATCCATCCGCTGCCAGCCATTTTCCTCAAGTCAAACTGGGGATCACTATTATTCTGGGTTAAAAAACTCCTGTTTCTGAATGCAGAATAATAGTGATCCTCCTTCCTTAGGAGAGGCCTATGTCCAGCAGTGGTTTGAGATAGGCAGCAACACTTACAAAGGGTAAAGCGGCAAGAAAATGAATTGCATGAGCTGTTACCAACCTTTTAGTTTAGCCCAGAGGAGGATATGAGGTGTAGTACAAACGTCTGTGAACCAGGTAGGGCGACGAGCATGTGCTGCGGCGTAACACTCGGGACACGCCTCGATCTCCCCCATCTCCGTTCGGCACGAGCGGACCAGCGCCCGCGCCCCTGCTGTGAGCTTGGATTGCACTGTGGGATACACTAATTAAAACTTCGCTGAGCGTATAAATTTCAAACTACAAAGCTGAAAAATAAAATTCATAAAAATAAAATTTGAATCATCATTTGCTCATGCACTTTATTTTAAAAAACGAAATCTTAGCAAGAAATCAGTAAAAATACGCTTTTTGTGTCAACAGAACTTTTAAAGTAAGTGCACTGTAATTGCTGGTAACAAAAATGTGTGTGGAAATACTAACGTGTATTAAAAATAATGCTGTTATGTAGTATCCATTGCACATCTGAAAGGAAGGCCACTGTGCTGCCATATCGTCCCTCGGCAATGTTAGTTTGCATTAATGACAGGTCCATGGGATGTACGACGTACTTGTCATAATCTGGGAAATTCGCACGATCCACGGGTTGCATAAAGGGTTCCACCTAGAATAATGAATTCAGAATTAAAAGATAGTATTAAAATGAATTATCTTAGAAAAAATATTGCGATATATTTTTTCTAAGTTTTATAATGTGTTTGTTTGTTTCTACGTTTCACACTTGCACTATTTAACCGATAACCCTGAAATGTTACATGAAATTTTGTATTTGCCAAGTGAATAGAAAAGGACCTTGGTACCTACGCAGCATAATACACTTTTATTTACAAAGACATTTTAATGGCTACTAAAGTGGCGTTTGGAGTTTCATAGTTTTTAATCAGATTTTATCGGTATAATTGCATTGAAGGCACATAAGTTTGTTGCGGCGTTTTTCCCATGTGTACGATATTGGCGAGGTTGACAATGAACATAGTTAAGCATATTTACTACGAGATCAGGAACCACTGTGCGTAGTCTATTTTATCTAAATAAATAACTACTAAATACTAGTTTTTGATCGTTACTTCACTCGCGTTAAATTAATTGTAATAAACTCGATGAAAATACCCTATGCTCTAGGTTGTATTCCTGGCAAGGCTACCCAAAATTTCATGATAATCGGATGATACGGCAACTTATAAAATACGTAACAAACATGTATTTTTCTAAAATAAGAGTATCTTACAGTCGAGGTCTTTTTTCGGAATGTTAAATTAGCATTTCTATTCTATAAAAGTAAACACAATTGTAAAGAATTGACAATCAAAAAAGTGTTTTGTAAGTTAAGAAGCTGGCGTATTGTTTGCTAAATAAGAAGTCGTTTTGCTTAAACTGTTATTATGGCCTAATTGCATTATATTAAAACACGCAAGGTTTATTCTTGAAGGGAAAATTATACCAAGATGACAATAGCAATTATGGAGAGTTAAAATAGCAAACATAGTTAGAATTTGGCTACTACTGCAGCTTGCAATGTTGAAATTATGCTTGTTGCCTTAGTGAAAAATATTAAGGGTTTTTGAACATATATGGTGTAACATTATTACGATAGAACAAATTTGCTGATCAACGTCAGCCAAAATATTACTAGTATATGCAGAATATCTGCTAAAAAAATCATGACGACCAAACGAAAATGACGAACTGAGAAATACGCCGCACACATTCAATCGATTGCACACACACACGAGTACGTTTATTATTAGAGCTGAGAGAAAGAGACAGCAACAGACGCTTTGGTATTGATTAGTGGGGTTGAAAAGAGACGGAGTATAGCAATGCCGGGGATCGCGGAGTTATGTAGATAAGTGACAAGGTCGTTTTACCGAGACGCCCGAGACCCGCCCGACGCAGCCCCGATCGTCTGCCACATACATGCTAATGCCTGTTTCTTTATAGATTCATACATTGATTTAATGAAAGTAAAAATATAACGAAAGAAATAATAAATTCTTTTGCACTTTGATTTTTGAATCGATAAGAACTTAGCTAATTTAATGCAATACAAGTCCTAAATACTTTTCTTAGATGAAGTAACCTATAATTTTACATAGATATCTATGCATCTATGCTACTAATAAATTTAAGGAATCTGTAACGTCAGTTTGTCTGTTCAAGTTTTATGCAACAACTACTTGATTGATTTGAAAAATGCAGCACTTTTAAATTTAATAATTCAAACTACTTGACTGTGTTTAAAATCACCTATCCAAATCTCTCGTTTTAAGCGATTTTGGTTAAGGCAGAGGCAAATAAAAATCTAGTATATTAAAATCCTAAATATGTAGGATATGTATGTATATTCAGTATGTAGTATGCAAGTCAATTTAAAACAGGTCATGCTTGATATAAGTAGGTATTACACCAATTAAGTTGTAGACTAAAATTCTTATCAATCTGTGACCTCTATCATAAATCATCTCTCAATGGACACAAAAATTATAAAATACTAGCTGACCCGCGCAACTTCGTCTGCGTCTCTTTTTTTTTTCGCCGTTTTTGAATTGAATTTGAATTTTCTCCGTTTTTGAAACATTCTTCATTGGTGCTCCGCTCCTATTGGTCTTAGCGTGATGATATATAGCCTATAGCCTGCCTCGATAAATGGGCTATCTAACACTGAAAGAATTTTTCAAATCGGACCAGTAGTTCCTGAGATTAGCGCGTTCAAACAAACAAACAAACTCTTCAGCTTTATAATATTAGTATAGATTTTACCCCATTGAGATCCATCAATCGTTCTAGTGCATACTTGAGTAGATCACGAAGCATTGATGGTGAGACCTTCTTCATGGCCTGTGACCTGGAAAAAAGCATAAGCAATCACCTTACTATAAAAAAAAAAATTGCTATGTATTTCAAAGTTTTTGTTTTTATAATAACTGATATCAGATAAATTATACTCTCTCCTTCAACCGAATGTATTATCTATTGGTGAAAGCAACATAATATGCGGTAGATCATAAAACAGACAAATTCCAAATTAAATTGTAGCATATGTTGAATGAAACTTTTTAGTTTTGGTGATTTGTTTTATAATTTTTTCTTCTTTCTGACTCCATGATAGACTATTGTTATAAATGGTATCAATTATAGTTATGCTTATAATATTAAAAACCCACCACCCAAAGGTTGGCTGGTAGAGAATGCCCAGGGCTCTTAGTCCACTGATGTACATAAGTGCATAAAGATGTAAACAAGAAAATAAAAAAGGTCAACAAAGAGAAGGAAAACTTGAAACAAACCCTATACAATCTGTCTGGCCAGCGTGGTATAGTAGGCCAAAACCTCCTTTCTAAGGAGACCCTATGTCATGCAGGGGACTGCTAGAGGCTGTTGATGATGATGATGATGATGAAGCTCTCTTAGCATTACAAGTGCATTTCACTCTCAATTTTCCCATCTTTAAGTTCCAAGGTGCTTAGTTGATGGCTATAGGTTTTTTTTATTACTTTAGCGAGACTTAATTATAGTTGACCAAAATGTGGGTATGTAATATATCTGACTTCACCTTATATATGTATGTAGCTGTTTTACCTGGTTTCTGAACTTTCAGCTTGCAGGATAAGCATACACTCAGGACACACCCAGCTCTTCTCTGCATTTATCTTATTCCGTTCAGAGCTTGATAAACACTTATAGTGGAAGGACCTGGGGCAGACAGTACATGGCATTGGAGCAGACTGCTCCACAACCCAATGGCACCTCCAGCAGTAGGAGTCTGATCGAAGTTTACCAGTGCTGTCAAAAGTCTTAAAGGAAAACAAAAGAATGTTGTTACCATAGTCCAATTTATTATAAATTTTAAATAATAATTGTACAAAATAATAATAATAATAATAAATGTTTATCATAAAAATAAAAATATAAAATAAAAAAGTAAATAAACAAATATTTTTTTTTATAAAATAAAAATATTTTTTTTTATTTGTTTTTTAAATTATAATAGAATTTGCAATACACCCTGGGGATTATTTATTATCAGTACAAGTTGATCATTCACTTTTATTATTAAATGCTATTATTTTTACATACGTAAAAATAAGATTGTATCATGAAAGTAAAATATCCACACAAACTTATAAAAAGAGTCTAAAAGACAATTGTATACAAAACTGATGCTTCACAGCGCAGTTTGATTTTACACTGAATATAAACCCTTTTAACCAAATATTTCCAGTTATTTTATTATTTATACCTATTCTATTCAATTCGAAATATATTATTTAGAATATTTAAATTAATTTATTTTATTACAAAATTGTTTTAAAAAAAATTGTTTCTTAGTTACAATAAGGGTGGGTAGATGAATTATTTGAATTACAGTTTTAATAATCAAAGAACAACTTTTTTTAATTATTGCATTTTGAGTCAAGCAAAATATATATATATGTTTATGCTTACTACTTTGTAAATAAACATTTACTAACACAAATGTAAGGATAGTGTTGTTAGGACATAGGAACTATTTTGGTTTATTCATGTTAACTAAATATGACAGAATACTGGCCATCATATATGCAGGCACATAGGAAAAGGTTTAATGGGCTATATATAAAATATTTGAAAAATGAACTGTCTGAAAACCATAAAAAAAAATTATGAGCTCATGTGACAAAAAAAATCAGTTCCAGGTTTACCATAAAGTTCATATTATTTTTACATATAAATGACTCAATTTACACAATTGTCACTACTTACCTCACTACATACTGATTCAACCTTCTTCATTTTCAGTGGTGTGACAGAGGATTCAACATGATAATTTTTATCCTTATTCAAACCTTTGTCTTTAGTATTTTTCTCTTCTACCTCATCATCTTCATCTGAATCTTTATCTTTATTTCCTTTACCAGTGACTGAGTTTAAAAACTGTTTGACCTTACTAACAAACTCAGGGTTCTGTGACCTCATAGATCGTTTGACAGCAACCTTTTCTGATTTCTCACTACAGCTACTCTTCTGTGAGTTATTACTGTGACGTCTAATGCCCTGTATCTTGTCTGCTTCTACAGAAGTATTTAAACTAGTACTAGAATTGTCCAGAGCTGACCTAGACTTTCTTGTTTTACTTTTTAATTGTGTACATTCACTAATAATCTTGGACTCTTTAGCAGAGTTTATTAATGACTTTAATTCCCTACTAATGCTCTTGTTATGTTCTTTTTCTGAAGTGTCAGAACAGTTTGTTTCTATTGAGTTGTTTTCAATTTGAGAATCATCTGAGGTATCTCTTTCTACAGTTATATCAATGGGAATGATAGATGATGTGGTTTTACAATGTGAATCTGTGAGTTTTGCATTTGTGTCACTATTCTGTATCTTACCATTGACCAAAACCTTTTCTACAAGCAGAGGCTCATTGGTTGGAGGACACATTTGTGACTCACTTATTTGTAACTCTTTATTCGGTGATATTTGAATAGGTTTTGGTGCTTCCTTCATTGGGCTCTTTTCTACAGATATATTTTGAACCTTATTTGGGCTACTTTCAACAAGAGATTTTGTATTATTTTGAACCTTGTGAGGGCTACTTTCAACAAGAGATACTGTATTATTTTGAACCTTGTTAGGGCTACTTTCAACAAGGGATATTGTATTATTTTGAACCTTGTTAGGGCTACTTTCAACAAGAGATATTGTATTATTTTGAATCTTTTTAGGGCTACTTTCAACAAGAGATATTGGATTATTTTGAACCTTGTTAGACATAGTTTCAACAAGAGATATTGTATTATTTTGAACCTTGTTAGGGCTACTTTCAAGAGATTTTGATTTATCTATATTTTCTGTTTGTAAATTATCTTTCACAGAAGAATCTACATTTTCTGTTTGTTGCAATTGTGCTGAGAGTTCTATTTCATTATCTAATGCCAAATCTTTGTTTACAGGTTTTTGGGGTGACTCAGTCTTACTTAAAGATTCTACTTCCATGTTTTTAGCTGGAGATTTTATTGAAATTATTTGTACCTCTGTATCCATTTGTGGAGATTCCACACATGATTTAGATACCTCATTTATGCTATTATCGACCAGCGAAATTTCTTTCTCATTCTGAACCTCAGAATTCATTTCTTCTTCCTTCACTTTTTCTACCACTATGACCATCTCGACGTTACCGATGGAACCTGTTACTTCCTGCGTCTCTGGAACATCCTCAGTGGTAGAAGACACATCTGTCTCCATGTGGGATTCAGAACTTTCCTCCATCACCTGGGACAAATAGACAACTGGTATTTTTAGATTGACCTTTTGTGATGTAAGAAAAATGTGCTTTTAGTAACTTGACCAGTAGTCTAGAATCATATGTTTTCAATAAACATGTAAACACAGGGGTAACCGGTCACTATCTAAGCTTAGCCACTCTGCCAGCTACTTACATACCTACTTTCAATACAATCATACCAATGCATTAGCTTACCACAGAATTTATTTTTTTCGCAATACAATTTCACTCAGCGATATTCACGGTATTCGACAATGTTTACTTCTTATACATATGGTTTGTAATTTTATTGTGCCGTAGCTTTGTGACCAAGAAACATCATCAACCAACAAAAAAATCCACACATCGCCATCGCACGTACAGCTACGTTGGGTTGCGTTGAGTTTTTATTGGTTAACGACGACAGATGGAGTTGATTGAACCAAAAGAAAAAAAAAAACGTTTTAATGTATCTTGCTCTTTCGCACAATGTGTTCATCTCTACCTTTGGTATGATACAGTATAGTACTATCTCGCTTCACCACTTGGCATACCGATAAACTGACAGATGTATTGAATGAAGTTGGTGCGAGTCTTTCATTTAAAAGTTGCCATGTAATACACAAGGCCCTCGTCATGAGGATTTTACAAGATTGATCTATGTATCTTTTAAAATTTGATTGCATTTTTTAATTTAACCTTTGTTCTTTATTTTCATTGAATAAACATAATATTGTGATCTTAAAAACTAATTATTCACTGAATTATTTTAGTAGTATTAAAACATAAAATGTCGATATTATTTGTCAAAAGAACTTGAATGATTACCAGTGTAATAAATCATTTAATGAATGAAATAGAAACGTCAAAATTCAGGTGATTATTTTTAATTTTACAAATATTTATTTACTGTGCGTCAAGTATAAATAATGGAGTTTATAGAACTTATACTTATAAATAAATTGGACGGCGTAATACTAAAATATCCACACCAAGAAAATATTGATGGCACTGTATGTATCACAGGACATCATCTGATTTTAAGTTCACGAAAAGAAGGCGTTCAAGAACTGTGGGTAAGTTTATTGCAATATTTTATTTAATATTTCCTGTAAGAGGTTTGTATTATTTAATGATAATCATCTGCAACTGTTACATTCTTATTTTTAAATCTATTGCCATTAGCCTTTCTATTATTACACAGAACTCAGTACTAAAAGAATTAAAAAATATAATAACTAGTTGGTTGTATCTTCATACCTATGAGTTCTTGTCATGTCTTATGCTTATACTCTGGGCAAACAGTAAAAAACATAAGAAATACAACTTTGTTTAGACTTATTTTTACTACAAAGTAATATATAAAATATTAACTTCTTATATAAAGGTACTATTTAATGAGACAGTTGTGTAAACATAAAATATACCTAAAACTTTGGTTTGCAGTTGACATTAAACAATTGATAATAAACCAGCCTGAATTTTAATTACAGCTTTTACATAGAAACATAGACAGTATAGAAAAAAAGGAGAACAAACCAATCAGTGGTGTTCCCCAAGGAGGCTCTCTCTTCCTCAAATGCAAGGACCTGAGGATATTTCGGCTAGACATTGCAACCACTACTGAGCTCAATTTGGTAGCTCAAACACTTGAGAACTTGTCTAGCTTACAGGATCCGAGTCTATTCTACCCATTCTTCTACAGGCATATGAATCCTATTGTGGAGAATGGATACACTTTGTACAGGTAAATTATAATATTATCATTTTTTTAATTTAATAAATATTTAACTCAAGTTATTAAAATGAAGTGTAATTTACAAGTGCAGTCTGAGCAACTATTGGTTGAAAAATTGCAAACCTTTTCTAAGATGTTTTTGTATAGTGTATGTTATTACACTGCAGCTGATAAACAATAATAAATTAATTAAATAAATAAACTAGGGTATTAAAAATGCATAGTATTCATTTCAACATTCCACTTTATAATCAGGCAACATTTAAGTTTATACATATATTATTCTGATTGTGTTCACTTTTTGTGTTGATTGTGCTCAACAGTGTTCACTAGAAAAAGAGAAAAGAGTACCAGATTCTGTATCCTTGACAAGATATTGCCAGAACTATTGAGTGTGACTAAAACATTACTCTTATTGCCTCTTCTTGCCATAAGAATGATGAGGAAATGCAATATCTTCATTGGGACTTATTTTTCTAAGCAGGTGACATCTACTGTTTCTATGCTATTCCTATCACTTGCCATTACTATTAAAACTATTGGTATTGGTTGTGGGTTCCAATTTCCTCATTCGACTCGAGAGTGGTCCTTTATGCGTCTAGAAAAGTTTGGCTAGGTGAGCCAACCAAGCTCCTTCCAGAAGCACAGAATCCTCCTGGGGCGTTTACAGGCTTCTAAAAGCGATTTTGTACTAGGTGTAGTACTTGCCCGTTGTGTGGCCACTCCCTCGCATTCCAGGATTATGTGGGCGGCCGTTTCTTCAGCTTTCAGGCATTCTGTACAAAAAGGACTGTCCGTCGCATTAATGATGAATAGTTAGTCTGCACTATTAAAACTAATTCAACCTCGTCAAAAGTCTTCAATTTTGTATTCTTTATATTACAGTATAGAAGGCGAATTTACAAAAGTATTGGCAACTGAGGAGTGGCGAGTGTCCCGTGTAAACCAGAACTACAATGTCTGCTCTAGTTATGGAAAAGCAGTTGTTGTACCCAAGTGCATTGATGATGAGACTCTTGCGGCTGCTGCCACATTCAGACAGGGTGGCAGATTTCCTGTCCTGTCTTACAGACATAATAATAGCGTAAGTTTATTATAATAATAATTCAGACTTAGTCCATACTATTTGTTAGTAACAATGTTCTAAGCCTAATCTTAGTAACATCACACCAAGCTATATAATTCAGTTATTCAATAGTTATATCTTTGTGCAGATGTGTAAAATGTAAAGCAAACAAATCTATAAATTGTTCATTGTATGTTCAGCAATTTACAAATTCAGTACAATTGTTTGTGCAAAGTTTGTTGGCTTTAGTTATTTTGAAGGTAGTCTCCTAAATACACCAATAATACAATTCCAAATTTCACAATTATTTTGCATAAGTTATAAAGATATACATAGAAACGTTGTATATAAAGTCTCAACTATAGTAACTAAATATAATTGAATCATAACCTTTATTTAAAATGTGACTGCATGGAGTTTAAGCGGTCGCCACGCCGCTTCCTACTGGGCTGACATATTCCTGATGCGGGAGTTGTCTTTTCAATTTTTAAAAAATAAAATTGTTTTATTCTTGATGAAGTCAAGTCTGATCAGAGAATTTGAAAAGCTGATTCGTTATTAATCTTCACAAATAATATTAATTGAAATGTAAACTCATGATGATGATAGCTCAGAATGAAGTAAACATTGTTACTTAATACACATTTTTATAGAATATACTATTTCCACAAATACTAAAGAGTGATTGAGAACTTGACTTGTCAGTCTATTACTATATTGAATCTCAAGGTTAGAAGCAGTAGTTAGTACATATTGTAGCAGTACATAAAACACCTATTTTGATAGGAAACAATGTATTATTTACACAAGTGATAGCTAAATATCAGAGCTGGCGTTTTAAACCTAATAAAAACTGTATTATTATTAAAATGCCTGTTTGTCTACTGGTTAGTTACCCTGACTGCTAAGTCAGAGGTCGTGGGTTCGATTCCCACCCGGGACAAATAATTGTAATATGTATGTATTTAGCAACATATAAGTATGTTGTTTGGTTACAACGTAATTGTATTGTATGGTTACGTAAAGTAACGGTGTTGTATGGTTACCATAGCACAGGCTCTGCCTAGTTTGGGATCAGACTGCCGTGTGTAAGAAGTGTGAAGTTATTGGTTATTATTTATTATTGTATTGTACATGTTAAAATCCCATAACAGGCAGTGCTCATGCGTGCTGGACAACCACTATACGGCCCAAAGCATCGTCGGTGTAGGCCCGATGAAGCAATATTGAACGCTGTGGTTGCGCTCGGCACCAAAGGCATTATTTACGATCTTAGAAGTTCAAATTCAATATCACAGCAGCAGAGTAAAGGTAAGTCATTTTATAAATCTTGAACATTCGGCAATAGCTGCTAGCGTCGGTCGCGGGTTTGATTCAATGATTCAAGATCTATGCAAATAATTGGACGTAAGTCGGACTATAAATAGGTCTGATTTCTATTTATCATTTCTTAGCTTATTGATAATTAAAAAGTTTTTGAACATAAATGGTAAATTGGTTCTATGCAATGACGTTACAACCTTATCGCTATAACGTTAACGCGTTATACAAAATACATTATGTTTATTACAAGTCTCTTAGATTTCAGCTTCAACTGTCGCAGAATACATATAGATGCATTGGCAGAATCCGTTGACTAAAAACTTAAACAAGGCTTCAGTGTGATGTGCACGCTCATTTAGGTCTGGGTATAATTTATCTATAAGATGAATTATACTACACACAGAAATACTATTTAAAAATATTGAAGTATATTTATCAGCTGTCTGGTTACTATAGTACAGGCTCTCCCTGGTTTAGGATTAGACGAACGTGCGTGAGATGTGTGAGGTTATTATTATACCAAAATACTGAATCTTAGCACTAAAACTTGTTGTATTTTGGATTACAGGAGGTGGAACAGAAAGCAACTCCAATTATTCACAATGGAAAATATACAACAGATCTATGGACGAAGTGGATAACCAGCAACAATTGTTAGATAGCTATTATAAATTAATGGAAGGTAAAAAATTCACCTAGGTCTTATTTATTTCATTATACGTATAAAACTCTCTTTAGTACCGCACAATGCCTAGCGCTACTAGGCATTGTGCGGTACTAAAGAGAGTTTACCTGTGACAAAAATGGTGTGAATCTTTTGGACAAATTCAAATTTGTGTTATTTAATTGAAACCTTCTTTAGAACTAGAGATTAATATAATGTCATAGTTTAAAGTAAAACAAACAATAAATATACCTTAATACAATACCATAAATCATTTATACCTTATTTATTAAGGTATAAATGATTTTTCCTCTGGTAATTTCACTTACTCGGTGATGAGGACGTAAAGGAGCGCGGGGCAGGGCGACACACGACACGAATGCCTTTTAGTGTGAGTTACATCCGTACACTGCACACATGCGCGCATATTCCTGGCTACGTACAGTCGAGTCGACTTGACTGTAGGTATCTGTGCACACCTTTGTGTGAACTTCATTAAGTTTGCTTTGGACTATACTTATACTACATGATAAAATATAACCCTATGTATTAATTTAAATTGCCGTGGTTATTATCACTTGATAAGTTGTCATAAACAGGATATTTACGGTAAATATCCCGTTTATAATATAAACTTATCAAATACTAGCTGGTACCCGCGACTTCGTTTGCGTGGAATTTGAAAATCGGTGTCTTAGTGCTGTAGTACAATATGCGACCATGAGGCCATGAGGCCTCGGGTTCGATGCCCGGACCAGTCAAAATTTTATAGGGTTTTTCTGAGAGAAAAAATTGCCTAAGTTACTCTTTATATAATAATAATAATAATATATTAATAATTATAATAATAATATATTCTACCACATACACACAACGCCATCTAGTCCCAAACTAAGCAGAGCTTGTACTATGGGTACTAGACAACTGATATAAATACATATATACTTTTTTTTTTGTAAATACATACATATTATACATAGAAACACCCAGATAGACAGCTACCTGGTGATAAAATATCATCAAAATCGGTCCAGCCGTTTTGACGATTACCCGTAACAAACAGGCACACAGACAGACTCACAAAAAATGAATAAACTGATTTTAGATATAGGTATCGTGCAGATAACCGTGTGAGCATGAAAATAAACCTATTATTTTGACATTACAAACAGACACTTCAATTTTATTTATTTGTATAGATAAAAAACCCGACTATTTTCGACTGCACAGAATGGCGTAGTAGTTTAAGTGGTCACCTCTCCGCTCCTGCTGCGCTTAGTGTTGTGGGTTCGTTCCCAACGTGGAACAACACTTTGTGTGATCCACAAATTGTTGTTCTGAATCAGGGTGTTCTTTGTGCCCGTTTGATGGATCTTTCCGAAGTCCCTCGCTACACAGGATATATTCCTAGTGCGGGAGTTGTCATTTTTCTTTTTTATTATAGTTAAATACATTTCAGTGTGCAACGATCGCGAGATATCGAGCGACAAATGGGTGTCCAGACTAGAGTCGTGCGGTTGGCCTGAGAGTGTTAGGAACTCTTTACATACAGCGTGCATCGTTGCTCAGCACATACACCAGGTATCAAACAACTTGTTGAAAATTACAATATTGTCAAAATAATCATTTATTAATGTTATTATTGCCATAGATGAGTGATGGATTGTAAATTTTATTAATTAGACATTTTATAAAATGTTAGGTGTCGCTTCAAATGAACACTGTGGAACATTTTGGTGATGAACTAAAAATGTACAAATATAAATTATTTTAACGATTAGTCTAACTCATAAATATTTACGCCTCGTGATATATGATGCCAAGCTAATTAATCCGCTGAGATCCGTCAATATTATGTATATTTACGGATATTATATGTGTTTTACAAACAAAAATGATTTACTAACTATAAACACATTAGATGAACAGGAAAATTCATTACACCATGCATCAATATTCTATCATCAACCTCTCGTCTGGATAGTCTTGTATGGATTATGAATGTTATATAATAAATGAAATTAAAACTAACACCTAAACTATTCGTAATACTTTAAATATATATGCATTTGACGATAGACGATTATAGTATGGATATGAAGATTAGAACCTAGCAATGCCTCCCTTTTTGTGACTGACTCGGACCATGTGATTTCAGGTCCCCCCCGACTAGGTCCTATGCCGAAACCTAGAAATATCCCTAGAATTAGATTAAAAAAAGCTAAATTATCTTGTTCTACGGGCATTTGTCGTTCTAAAAATTAATATGTTTCACCAAAGAATGAAACTCTAGCTACTACTATTATCATATATTTTATGTTATTGACAAGATTATCCATATTACGAATATAGCGTTCAAAATTTACTGTTTAAAATTTTGAACACACATTGTTTCACCTGATGTACTTGCATTAGACTTAAGTGATTAAGACTAGGTTTTCTTAGACAGGCATTTCGTGAATGACAAAATACTTCAAGATACTATAGAAATGATAAGAGAGATTACGTTATTACAGAAGGCGGAACCAGTTCTAGTCCACGGCACCCGCGGCGAAGACGCCACCTTACTTGTATGCTCTCTAGTTCAAATCATACTCAACCCGGATTGCAGAACTATCAGAGGGTAAGATATTCTAAAGGCCGTATCTGATGAGGTGTGATACCCATATGGGGTGTGATAAAAGTTAGACAGGGATACTGACGATTCTTTCGAGTGGAATTTGACAAAGTGGAGGTATTTTAGTATTCTTGACGAATCGTATTTTTCTAGAATATTCCACAAAAAGAAAAATTAAAGTCCCTGTATCACTAATTATTACCATACATGTACTACTATAACTAGATGTACGAGAGTCATCTATTAGACCCATATATCTTCACAATTTCAACGAGTCAGGCAATAGCAAGATACCTCTTGCTATTTTCCGCCAGTGGGCTTTTTTCGGGTCCAGTTTCCACGATACAGATGTATTTATAGTAGAGTGAAGTGTCTACTAGGGAATTCAGGCAGGTAGGATACAGGCTCGCCGTCTATTAATGTGTTAACAAAATGTCGATAACTCTAGCGAGATTTCTCGATCACACTAAGACTCATTAACAGTTACTAAACAAAAAAGGTAAAGTAATCTATGTTTATTTACTAAAATGGCATGGTTTTACCATGTTCACGGCTTCAGTTTGGTTAATGTAGATTTTGTCAATCAGTTCAAGTTTGCCTTGATGTTTTTTCTGGAAAAAAGGCAACCTACGTCTTTAAGATGTTTGTAAAGTTTGTAAAAATTCATGATAAAAGATTCCCTGTGATACTCCACATTATGTAAGCATAATATTTATAATGATTCGTTTTGAACAGCCTTCAAGCTTTAATCGAACGAGAATGGATCCAAGCTGGTCACCCATGGAGCACTCGTCAACGCTGCGGTCCATATACCTCTGTGCCACGAGCTGCTCCCACATTTCTTCTGTTCCTGGACTGTGTGAGACAGTTTTTGGAGCAGTTTCCTTGTAGCTTCGAGTATCGACAGTCCTTCCTCATCACGCTGTTTGAACATTCATATGCAAGTCAGTTTGGTAAGTCCTTTATTATAAGTGTTTTAATTAAACTTTCATGTGATGGAGCAAATTAGATCGAAATACCTTTATTATACTGCCAAAATTAGTTTTTGTGAAAATAAGTTTTGAGATTCTATGTATATATCTACATAGAATCTCAAAACTTATTTTCACAAAAACTATGTCTATATGGTATGGTCAAAATATAGTTAACAAACGGTATTTGACTTGTATAGCAAGAGCCAACTAAGGGAGCAAACTATGCAGAACAACATCACTGCAAAGAGAAGGAAAACTTGAGACAAACTCTATACCAACCCGTCTGGCCAGCGTGGTATATTAGGCCAAAACCTCCTTACTACGAAGAGGCCTATGTCCACACAGAAGTGGACTACTAAAGGCTGTTGTTGATTTAACTTAAATTAATTTAACTGAAAAAACGAATATTCGATTATCCTATGTGTACTTGACATACATACTGTAGCAAAATTCCTTTAGACTAGCAGTTAGTTATCAAGGATTTTTAACATCGGGGGTCGGCAGAGAATAGTCAGTCATTTTGTTATCTCTTTAATGGTTAGTGACCCTAACTGCTAAGCCGGAGAGCGTGAGTTCGATTCCCACCCAGGACAATTAACTGTGTTAAGAGCACGATCATTTGTTCTGTGCCTGGGTGCAATTTATCTACTATACTATGTATGTATTTAAAAATATATAAATACGTTTCTTATCTGCCTGTTTACCATAATACAGGCTCTACCTCTTTTGGGATTAGACGGCCATGTATGAGATGTGTCAACTTTGTATTATAATACTTCTCGAGCTTTGTCTCTGCGATGCGATTTCAAGTACTTAGAGGTCCATGACAGGTAGGACTGAGTTCTTTCGTTGTTTTTATTGCATTATCTGTCTGATATATATTTGACTGTTAGATAGCGAAAATAAACAACAGTTCAGCGCGGGAGCACGATTATTACAGGCTTATGAATTATCACGAAATGCAAACGTGCAGGTACGCACACATATGGCACACATACGCGCGGTGGCCAACACACATTTGTGCATTATGTACATACACATCAGTGTCACTTCATTAGTTCATTTGGTCTTTGTTTCAGGTACGTTTTTATGCGACAACGAACAAGAGCGCGAGACTCGTGGGGTCCACTCACAGACAACCAGCGTGTGGTCGTGGCTCAACCAACCGGACGAGTTGCCCAAGTACATCAATCCACTGTACGACCCCACACCAAATGTTATATGGCCCTCTGTCGCCCCCATGAGCTTTGTCATTTGGGAAGGTAAGATTTTTTAAGTGTGTTGTAAAGTTGAAAGCTGATTCACTTGCACAGCATACATTAGTGTATACGGTGTGTTTAGTATTTTGATAGAATATATGTGAAGGAGGATCCTCCGAACAGGCGAGGTGTTCGTTCTTAACGGGCTGCAGCCAAACGGTTGATGTTGGGATGTTGTATAAATACTATAGTTAAACCGCCGTAAGCTTGGCCCTCCTGATGGTTTGGAGGACGCGGGGCGGGGGTGCATTCAACCAATTAGCTAGTGCGTCGCTGTCCGCCGGCAGTGACTGACGTGAAAGCATGGCTGTACGTGTTATTTTTCTTAAGACTGCTACACACGGTATTATTTTGCAACATGGATAATCACAAAAAGATTAAAAAACTTGAAGATTGGCTTACAGAGGTTCTATTGTTAAAGTTCTAATAAAGAATATTTATTATTTTACTTAAATTTTAAAATTGTATCTGAATATAATTTACATGATGAAGATAAGGTGATTTTATTAAAATTACTTTACAGTATTAAATTTTGCAATTAATCATAAAAACTTACAATACACTGACATTATAATTCATGAAAATAAATTAGATTTTTATTACATAGTGTGTAGATTAAATCTCAAACAAATAAATCTGAAGATATCGAGTTAGTACATCGTGTCATGTATAGACGAGCGCATCACCCGCCCCGCGTCCCGCAAACCATCAGGAGGGCCAAGCTTACGGCGGTTTAACTAAAATAATCGCCTTCGTTAGATACGCGGATACACGTTGGCAGTATCCGTAACAAATCCGAATATCAGCATATTCCTCATTAGTGTAGATATTGTTGTTTACATATCATGACATACATAAAACGGACATAAAAAACACGCAGACACAAAGCAAAAATTTGTGGATCCCACAAAGTGTTGTCCTATGTGGGGATACCCATAACACTCAGCGCACAAAGGCGATGAGGTGACCGCTTAAACCACTTCGCCATTCATGCAGTCATAAATTGTCCATAGCGTGTATGTTAATGTTTTTAAAATTACATCGTTATTTTGTTAAAACAATTAGTAAAACTTTCAGAACTGTTCCTCCGATGGCTGGTTGAGCAACACACGGAGGCTCGCGAGGAGCAGTACCGACTGATTAGGTCGCGCGAACAACAGCTACGTGGCCAAGCGCAGCAGTTGCGTCGAGAACTCTATGACCTCGCGCATCAGTACTACAAGAAAACAGACGACGATAAGTAACGTTAGCCTAAGAAAATATATTTAAAAAAACGGCGTGAGAGGGTCTATGGACCCCCGGTCGGAACGAAGTATAGCAAGAAGTGTCGGAAAAAAGTCTTGTTACACATTTTTCGGTGTCGCTCCCATCCGAGGGTGTAACGCGCGATAAGAAACTTCATTCAAACAATTAAAAGTAATGAGTTGATGCGTAAATTAGTCGGCAAACCAGTTAACGCCTCTTTAGTAAACGCCAAAACACCACGCTCTGTAGGAATTTGTATGAAACAATGACTTATGACGTTATAACTAACTACTGACATTTCATTTACTTTCAACATTTGATTTAACTAAAAGAATTAATAAAATATATTTTTTACATTTAATTTCATAAAGACTGTTGAATAATATACTTTAACCATAGAATTTTACTATTCTACGTATCCAACAACCTAAAAATACGTTAGTGCATATTATTATTAGCTGAAATTATTAAGAAGATATAAGCTAAAACAAAAAAAAACAGAGCATTTGACCTGAGTTTTTATTGGAAGAAATTTCTTAAGAAAGTAAAATAAAAGACATAATTAAAAAATGCGTCCGTTAATATTTTCCACAATAATTCACGCCTTATTACTGTAGTGCTACTGCCATATTTTTCGGACTAAGTGGAGTTGGCTGGTTAGCTGATTAGGGTATCGATGTTCAGTATATTTTAAGCCAAGTATCGATAGGTAGGTAGGTAAAATATCAATTCATACTCTAAATTATATATTCGAAGTATACTATTGATATAGGATACTATTGATTCTTAATAATCGTGAGCACTGACACACTAAAGATCGTTTATATTTAATATATTTATTATTAAATTAATATTATTGCTGATTAAAGGAGTTTCTGAAATGCCGTTTTTGTTAACAGATAAATATGGCTATTAAACTCAGTTTATCAGGCTATTTAAAATAAATAGAAAAGTACCGTAAAGTTCACCGTGTAGCGAAAGGGCCTACATTTTTTTTTGAGAAGACAATTAATTTCTAAGGAGAAAATAATAAAATATAATAAGCTCTAATATGCATAATGTATAAGGTTTGTATAAGGATCTTTAAATAAACCAACATGGCCTAAATATAAGATCAATTGGAACACCATAACATAAGTTATAAAACAACACCTTGAATAATTTAAATGAGATCATGTTTTTGTAAATATATTTAGAATAATAATATTTTACGCCATACATTTAACATTAAATTTGTTTGAACATCGTGTAGGAATAAATTGGTTTTATGAAATCGCTGACTGATTTTGCTTATGGCTTTGCGGGTAAATATCACAATTCTTATTTCAAATTCTGCTAACAGAATTAAAAAATAAAATATGTTTGCGTACTTTATCAGTATAAACGACATTTGCAAATATAACTTGTCAACAATGTCCATGACATCGCGGAGGTACAACGGTATTAAATTATGAAAACAGTTATGAATGTGTGTAGTCTTAAGTTATTTCTGTGTAGAATAATGAAAATAATCTGCATTTAGTTAATTTTAATAGAATTGAGAACAGAGGGCCTCAATCGTCACGGGGACTGCGTTCAGTGCTGCGATTGGCCCGCACTGAAATCTTTACTAATCTCAACGCCGAACACTGACCCTCGAGAGCGAGTGGATGTGAAATAAACTCACACTTGGCCCTCAGAAACAGAAATATTATGTGACCAATATAACCATCTATTCTCATAAATAATGTAAAATAAATAAAATAATTAAATTAATATAGCGATAACATTAAATTGCTATATTACAAAAAAAATTTAGTACTATTTGACTAGATACAGGAAGCTGAGATTATAAATAGAGCATGTTTGTGCAATATGTTGGGTATCCAAAGATGTATCCCGATGTACCCCAAGCAGAGGTCAGGAGGGTTTAACTTAAGATTAACTAGAAGTTATTTAAAGGCCAGGTTGACCAATCTGCACATAATATTGTGCTATAAAATTGAGTTCTGATTTGGCACTAAGCCCTGAAAAAGCTGAATTATTTTACTTAATTTTATTACTTTTTTTTATAATGATTGCCTATAAATGTGTATATTGTAATAGTAATACATGAAACATGTTATTGTAATACTTTTAATTGAATATAATTCAATTTTTTCGATTTTATTTATTCATATACGAATTTTTAAACACGTTTATTTTCGTCCTAATTTTGGTAATAGTGTAATGGCCTAATAAGTATAGTTTTAAAGTTCGTGAAAAGAAATTAAATTAATATTTAGTAGTCTTTTATTTGCTAATACATCTGAAGTTCGGTATTAATTACAAAAAAAGTGTTTTTTTTATAAATTTTTAAGTATTTCTAAGGGCTGATTCATGCGGGGCCTAAAATTTTTTCACGGCCATTTTGTGTCTATAACAAGATAGCGAGGTACGATATAGTCTAGAGCCCCTCTACGCTTGTAAGTTATTGATTCAGTGCTTACAGGTATTCAAAGTACAAGAGAATAGGTATTTTTAGGGTTTATTAACAGTGCTAAAAGTGTTCAAGTTGTATAAAATTATTAATATCAGGATCAAAAGCTATGCTACAGACGAGGTCCGTATTTTGTTTAAGTGTTCAAGTTCCGTGTCAAGGAAAACTATATGTATCACAACAATAACACATAAGCTTGCAAAAACCAGTTTACAAAACAATATTTAGTCATAGACAAAGGGCCATTTGTTAATAGGTCCCGCGAGCCCAGAATCATATACACTTGGCGCAGATTACCCCCTAATAAATTTCGCATTATTAAATATTTGTTCTGATTCGACTTCACCAAATTTGGCGGTATGCAAGGTTTGCGGGGGACGTGTAAAATGCGCTGTTATTGGCTATTTCAAAGTCAAACATAAAATGCACCAAACCATAGTGATGGGACAGGGATGGGACGTTGATAGATAAAATGGTTTGATGATCTGAATTCTTGAAATTTATTTTATTCTTTAATATTGATTAATAATAAAATTGATCAATGTTTTTTTATAAAAAATAAAAAACTGTATATATATTTCTGTGCCACCTGCGAAGTGATACAAGTAAAAATCAATACTTTACAGGAGACCAAAACAAGATTTAAACATTCTAGTTCGTGACATAAGTGGGCTAGGTTAAACTTAAGTACCTTCTTTTGTAGATAAACACATTCACTTTCACTGTACATTTAAATTTTTGTAGTAAATATTACAATTTTAAAATAATTCTTGAAAAACCTGTGAGTTGTACCTTTTCATTTCTAATACATGCTCAATTTATATTATAAATCATACAAGTTCAGTTAAATTATGTTGCACCTATAAGCTGTACGTGTAAATTGATTATTAAGTACAAATATCTAATAACTCATTAGACTATGTTTGTTGCGCAAAGTTCAAAGAAATGATAAAAATAATACCCCAAAGATGAGATGTTTTTACTCATCCATTTCCTGTTTTTATCAGTTTGCTAAAATCTTGGACTTTTAGATTCGGATCCGTTCAAAGTTATAAAACTGTAATTATATCGCTAGTCACGATAAATATTGTGAAAAATAAGTTAAATCTAAAAACTAGTTATAACACTTTGCACAAAACCATCTTCAAAACTGTAGTAGATAAAAGAACGTGAGTTAGACAGAAAAAAAAGTCTTTTTCTAAATATTTCTATGTAAAATCACAAAAAGGGTACAACTCGACTTAAATCACTCATCACAGGAGGCTCAGATTTGTATATTTGATTTTTAAATACATATTTCACTGATTTTTTACAATGGATGAGCTTAGTATAAATACGTCTCACAGAATCCTTAGGATTTGTCTTCCAACAACCTTCTACGGTTTTTAATAAAATAAAGATTGTCTTCTGTGTGGTGTCTCGAGCATATCAAACCATTTTGGTAGAAAACCAATCGTGCCCTCGACAAGTTGCGACGATCGACTTTTTCTTTTATGGCATTTAGGAAACCAATAACATAAACCACAATAATACGCCACTATTTTTACAAAATAATGACTTCAAAAAGAAAAAACATCAAAGGATGACCAAACAAATATCGACCTATAAATCACAACACTATCGATACACGTGCTGTCATTAGACAAAGACAACTATTGTAATTTACGTAATATATATCAACGGGTGCTTAGTTGTTATTACTATGCACCATTACAAGTTGAACTCTGGTGCATTTGAAATAGGTTAACGTAATAAGAATATAATGATGATGAAGATGAAATATTATACCATCTTTTTGATAATTAGATGTCTTAGCTGACTTGCCACATTATTTCACAAGGCAGGAAGTGATTTCTAATATATTTTAATATAAAACTATTTTAAATTGTCAAGAACTCGGACGTGCGTACGGGTCACGAACTTGGTCGTTAATAATGTCGTAATTCTTAGCGTCACGGCGTATGCTAGCTACAGCAAGTATGTTTTGCGCATCTTTGTAGCGCTGTATGCGGCATCTATTAGGGGGTAATCTGTGACGCTTGACGACCTGTATCAAGCAAGGCCAAACGCCATTCGCGTCGCCGAGCACTGCGCCAAAACCGTCTGATGTGTTTCCATCGACACGAGAAGATGAAGAACATCAAATATTACGTATTATCATTTCTCAATGTATGTAGTGTACTATTTTAAGCTCTTACAGTTTCCAAACCTGGCAAATATAATTTAATTCAAATTCATCTCATCTATACCATTTCTTTTAAAGTTACCTAAAACACAGGGTCAGGTCAATTAATTACATTCCAAGTTTTATTAGTTTATGAGTGGCCTCCTTTCACTAGTTTCTTGATCTGCATCCTCTTTTGCAAGTGGCATTACGCTAATATTATTAGTTTTTTATAAGTATTATTTTCTTGTATCTCATGTTTCCACGCGTAAATACGAAGCAAATACTTTACTTACACTTACGGGAAGACTCCGTTCTGTATTTCTTCATTATCACATTTTACATAAGCATATCAAGAAAGGACAATCAAAAGTGAA